GTCAAGGTATAAGGGTGAGTTGAGCTGACAACACCCCTGACCGTCGTGCCTGGGTTCGAGATGGAGGACCACGAGTTCCTCTCGCGGACGGAGATGGAGGAGATGCTCCCGGAGGCGCAGACGCAGGAACTCCAGTGGATGTTGCGGGAGAATCATCCTGAGGTACCATCTTTCTAGCATGCATGCAACCTGTATTCCAGGAAATAAAATATACATCTAACCCGTCTAAAACCCATCCATCCATCTATAAGATAATTCCACCCACTCGACCCACCCAACCAAACACCCACGGAAAAACCCTACAAAGCATCCCCCTCCCTCAGTACCCGCTGCTTCCTGCCCCCCTCCAACCCATTCCACGCCCACTGATAACTCCCCAAAAACACCGCCCCGCCGATCCCAATCCACGCGACGCGGGGCCCAATGCCCCTCCAGAACGCCGCCCCGCCGCCTTCCCGCGCAATCTCCTGCACCACCTCCCTCACCCGCACCTTCCCCTCCCCGGACGACCGCCTCGCCAACATGACCCGCGTCTTGACCACATCCAACGGCGTCGTCAACCCCGCCGCAATCGCGCCCGCCACGCTGCCGAACATCGCGCTCGTGCTCGCGGGGACCATCTCCAGCCCCTTCCGCTTCGCGTACCCGTCCTTCAGGCTCTCCCACATCGTGAACTGCAGCACCGTGAACGGGATCTCGCGCGCGATCGTGATCCCCGCGCCCCGGTACAGCTCCCGCACCACCGACCCGTAGCCCGCGCCCGGCGCGTGCCGCAGCGCCAGGATGTCCTTGAGCGCCGCGGCGCTGGAGCCCCCGAAGAGACCTGCCTGCGCGCGCTGCTTGATCACCTCCGTGGGGACGCGAACGGCGCACGCGGCGATCTCGCCCATCGAGGAGGCGAGGGAGTGCGTGAGGAGGATGTGCGTGCGGGACGGGGAGGGGGCGGCGGCGGCGGCGGAGGAGTTAGTCGTAGCGGTAGGCGGCTCGAGGAGCAGGCGTTTCACCCCGTCGTACACAATAAAGAACGAGGCGGCCGAGGGGGCGGACCCGAAGAGCACCGAGGGCAGACCGGCGTAGATCCCGCGGATGGTTTGGCGGAGGGAGACCGCCGGGGCGGCGGCGGCGGCGGTACTGGCCGGCGTCGCGGTGCGCGCTTTCTGGAGGCGGGTTTTGATCGTGTCAAGGGGGTATAGGGAGCAGTCGACCGTGAGGCCGGCGATGGCTCCGGACTGGAACACAAGACATGGCATTAGTTGAAGAAGCAGTACCCGGGCAGGGAAAGCATACGATCAATGATCTCGTCCACAGCGAGACCAATGGCTCGGGTTCCTGCGCTGTAGCCATGGTGCTGGGGTCTGGGAAGGAAGTCGGCGGTCTGGCCAGAAATTTGAAGCCGATATACCCAGAGTAAATAGTGACGACCCTGCAAGCGACTATGTTCGTCCCTCCCAATCACAAAGTTGAGAAAATTGTTGAAAGGTGGTGGTGGTAGTGGTGTGCAAGCTCTGGCCGGGAAGTCGCCCGCCGAGAGAAGTCGGCGGATCGACAACCTCCGATTATCGGGCTAAACTCCGCAATCTCCGCCTTACGTCAAGCCCCAACTCCGCATGGTGATGCTCTCATTGATCCACGATAATATTTACTATGCCTATAACTGCTCTTCAACACAATCGAAACCTTGCAGGATGAAAACAGTCTGAGAAAAAGGCTCTGTCACAGCACAAGGCACAAGGAAGATTTCTAGCAGCTGACCCTCTATAGGGAAGAATGATTGCCTAAAGCAGCTCCGTTCCACGGACAGTGACCGCAACGCCTAGATCGAAAAGAAAACAAGAAACAACAACAAAAGACAACCCCCAGACCCTCATTCCAACGCGAAGAGAGCCATGAGCACAGAATACCATCGATCACGCAATTATATCTCACTGCACAGGAGCCCCGCCATGAAGCGCAAAAAACAATCGACCGGATGGTGCCAGGTCACTGAGACAACCATCCTAGTCGAAGGGAATCAATGTAAAACAGACGAATCGAAGAAGACAGGGAAGAGGTAGTGTAGTCCGGGCGAGGAAGATTATAAGACATGTGGGACGTAAACACCCTTTTGCTCTGACAAAAAGAGAGAGAGGTAAAGGAAATAGGAAAAATAAGAATTATACAGTGGGGAATAGAGATAGATCACTTGAGAAGAGATCATTTGGCCTTGCTGGGAACTGGCACACTGGCCGAAGGGGGTTCCAAGACATGGGTGTGGCCTGGAGCATGGATGACCTCGCCGGTCAACTCCTGCCGACACGCCTTGATGTTGCGCACCCACTCATCAGTCAAGACATCATCCAGTGTAGCGCGCTCCTTCACCGACACCTTGAGCATCCGGCCAACAATGTACCGGCTCTCGCGGGGCAGGAGCCGGAGAAGGCGCCAGGGCCCCTTGATGACTTCCTGCCGCTGAGCCGCCGCCTGGGCGTTCGCCGGAAGTGGAGGGGCCTCCTTGCTCGTGGTACGGGAAGGCTTGTGAGTAGTAGCATTAGCATTCTTGCTATCCGTAGGTGCTTTGGTGACCAGCGGCTTGTCCTGAGGACTCTTCGGCGGCTGGTTTTCTTCGCCGGCAGCAGTAGGCTGTTGAGCTTGCTGCCCGTTCCCTTGGGAAGATTGTCCAGCGACGTCAGTATTGATACTGGGCTGGGCGGGTTTGCCTTCTTGAGCAGCGGTGATAAGATCAGGAGATGACTTGACGGCCCGGTGGCGTTTCGGGTCGACCTCAGGCACTGGAGTTCCAGGAGTGGGCGTGGAAACGAACAGTCGGTACGAGTTATCGCTGACACGGGGTTGTTTCCAAGGGAATCGGCGCAAAGTCATGCAGCAGAAGATGATGGCCAGGGACCAGATATCAGTCGGGCGAGGGTCATATTTCTTCTCGTCGTATACTTCGGGGGCGAGATATGGATCCGAGCCAACGATTCCTAACAAACCCTGTGAGCATGAACCTTCAAAGTACGTCATGACCAAACTTACCAGAAGAGAGGACGATATCATTCTCAAAAGGATATCGGAACACCACAGCGCTTCCGAAATCAATAAGCTTCATGATGCCATGCTCATTGACGACCACATTGTCCAACTTCAGATCGCGATGGGCCAGGCCCATTCCGTGCAAGTAGGCGACTCCACTGAGGATCTGCTTGAAAGAGCAAGCAATCTCCTCCTTGACCATCTTTCCTGTCATGACGATGGCAAACAGATCAAAGGGCGCATATTCCATGACTTCGTACCAATGGTTTCCTTCCTGAATAATGTCCAGCGTCTCGATGATATTGCCGTGGTGGAGGGTAGACCCAATGCAAAATTCCGCAGTCACCTTCTTGGAATATTCTTTCATAGTTTCCCATGAATGACGGTCTCGGAATTGCTTTACCGCAAAAGTCACCCCATCACTATTCCTCTTAAGCAACCTAACCGAGCCTCCGGCTCCCGACCCCAGCACCTTGCCCAACTTTCCATACTTCGAGTTAAGACCATGATCGTCTGCGAACGGGACACTGTCGGCTGCCGCGTGGAATGGGCCGCCCTTGCCTGAGGTTCGACTCGATTTCTTGAATGGGATCGACGACGGTGAGTCACCTCGCTTGTGTTTGTTGTGGGTTCGCTTGAAGAAGCGCTTCAACTCTGACATATGGCCATGGGTCTTCCCCTCGGCATCCGGCTGTCGTGGTTCTCGCTTGGAATTGAAGAAGCCACTGCGCTTTTCACTGGACCGGAGATCCGTGGCACTGGAAGAACGAGGGCTCAATGGGCGTGAGAAGGCCGATGTCGTGGTGCGACGCTTGGAGTCCCGGCTGCCGAAGATGAAGCGCTGGTCAAGTTGGGCAAGATTCTTCGGTTGCGGAGGACGCTTGCTACGAGCATACGGGTCATTCGGCTCACCCACCGGCGTGATCGCACCCGGAGGGGTATAGCTCTCGGGATCACCGCGAGGGGTGGCTGGTGGGCTTTCTTCCTGGGATCCATCAGTGGGACCGATAAAGAACTGCGCCCGATGCCGCGCGCCGTGGTTCGGATGAGAAGAGGTCTGTGCCACTTGGTTCTGCTTCGACAGTTGATCGGTCGAGGATGGACGGGAGGAGGGGGCGCTTTGAGGAGCCTTATGTTGTGCGGCAGCGCTGGCTGGAGGGGAGGTTGCGGGAGTCATATGGGTGGACTGGGCGGCATTACCGGCCCGATCGGTGGTGTTGGATGTGGAAGAAGTATCAATCGACTTGGATTCCCGTGAATGTGTGGCTGCGGGCGTCAGCGGGGGTGATTGCATGGCGGACACTGGTGGGGAACCTCGGGGCGAGGGGAAGCCCGATCCATTTGCTTCGCGTGCACTGCGGTCGCTCGATTCCCGGGAGGCAACCTGTAAGGAAGGATGCCTGTCAGCTTCTGGCCAGATCTGGAATGGCTATGCAGGCTCGATGCGAGGAGAAAGCGATCCATGGAAATGGAATGTTCTTTGCTGTATGCTGCATGACCCCAAGCACCTATCACCGCTCAGGGATCGAGAATACATACTCTAGATGACGGCAACGAGATGGGATCGTAAGAGAACTGCCGCAATCGATTCTCCTGCAATTGGGACCGCTGCAAGCTGGCAGCTAGCGACCGCAGTTCCTCCTCATGCTGCGTATCCTTGATCGACTCTGCTCCAGGAGACTTGACGGAAGACGACGGATCGGTAGGCTCGATTTCCTCCGTTACCGTAGAGAACCGGACCTGCCCGGATTGAGGATTGAGGCTGGGGTTGACATCTCCCGAAGCCATGTTTGGACCAGGGACCATCGGGCTGGAAGATTGGGGAGAGCGAGGTGCTAAAAATGAGAGCGAAATGGCATTAGGAGGGTGGTTGGAAGGCGGGGAGGTTGCTTGGCCGCGAGTGGGAGAGTAGCTTACCAGGGTCGCTGGGATTGCTCGCTTGGGCAAAATCGGTCGCTTCAGACGTCATACTCGGCTCAAGACCACGCTGTGGGACGCATGCCCCTCCACGGTTGATGCCTGTGGAATCCCTTGACCACCGCGATTGGTAACCACCCCAGAACTAATTAAATGAATCGGAAATTCAGAAATGAAACACTCTTGCGATCAGCGGGCTGCTGTGAAAGGCGGGCGAGTAGGACAGAACGGGGGAGTTGCACGGAGGATTTCCCATGCACGACAACGGAGCAAATCTTTTGTCCAGAAACGGTCACCACTTTCACCCGGAGAACTTTGGACGCTGGACAGGAGATAGAAAGGATGAGGGAGATTTATCCCACTCGACAACCACAGGAATTATGATCCGAGAGTGGCCCTGTGACAAATTGAGAGGAAGTAGAAAAATGAGGAGAAGTTTAGAGAGGAGTGAGTTTGGGGGAAAAAGAGGAGGAAAAAGAGGAGGAGGGGAAGGTGGGAAGTGGAGAGAGGGTCTGGAAGTAGGTAGGAAACGGAGAGGGGAGGAGGGTTGGTTGGAAGAGGGAAGAAGGGGAAAGGCAGCAACAGGAATGAGACGGGGGGAGGAGGTTCCACCGGGCTAGAAGATGGAGAGAGTGGAAGAGGGAGAGCGAGAGAGAGAGAGAGAGAGAGAGAGAGAGAGAGAGATAGAGAGAGAAGGAGAGAAGACAGAGCGAGACTAGAAACAGAGACCAGACTAGAGAGCCTAAAGAGAGAAGAGGAAGAGAAAGTCAGAAAGTCAGAAAGAGAAGCAGCCGTTCGGCGAAGGAAATCCAGCCGGGCGGCGGCAATAGCGGCGGCGGCACGGACTGAGTCTGCTTTCAACTCTACTACTTAGTTAATGTACAGTAAGTAAGTACTGTACCTGGTTCATCTCTAGTTCTTCACTTGAAGATGACTTGATTCTACTCTCTAGGGTGACTCGATATTGTCAAGCTAACTTAACGACCGATGATATTCCTCAGGATGGATGGAGTTGGAAAAGCTATTCTGGCTGCAATGGGAAAGTTGCCCGGGAATTTCTTCCTCTCCAGCCGGTTCCGGTTCTAGAATCCTGGGGTTCCCAAAGGGGGAATCTATTATTATCGGGAGAGTAGAAGGGGGAATGAATTGCGCCTGCATGCACGGTTCACCAACTTCTCTAAGTATTCAAGTACTTAATTCTCTCTATCTCCATCATCCTCATCGCAACTTGGGAACACGATCAGCGACCCCGTGCGGAGAAGATTGGCCATGGAGAGACCGACCAGACCAGACCAGACCAGACCAGACCAAGACCAAGACCAAGACCGGCTCTGGGTTCGGGATTCTGCGGAGAGAACCATAAAATCGATCGATTCTTGGGGGTCACCGGATGAACTCTGGGATGTCGACATCATCTTGTTATCAGAGAGGAAGGGCAAGGAAAGTGTCATCTGGCCGGAGTTGGCAGTCAGCTGCTAATGGTTCCAATCATCATTGTTATCATGATTGTTAATAATGACTGGTGCCGAGTTGCCGGTTGATGGTAGTCTACGGAGTACTACCTAGTAGTCTGCGTACGTACCCCGCTAGATTCTTCTGGATCTTGACTGGCGTGGACTTAAAACCAGCCCCTTCCCTGCCATGCACATTATTATTTGACCGGTCCACCCCGCCGGAATGAACCATATTAGCCCGTCCCCACTACTCCGTATCCATCGTACTATGTATCTAACTACTATCTATGAGTCCTTAAAAGATCCCATGTCAGAGCTTGAACTGGCAGCCCTAGCTGGGATCATGGGTCACCCCGGGAATAGGCATACTGTATGTGTAGACGATTCATGCTTGGTGCTGATATTCATCGTGATTCCTCGCTATATGATTGAGAAAGATTAATGTCTGGACATTTCTGTGTTGACATCTCTGTAACAATGATGACAGCACAAAACGCCAGTAAAAAAAGGAAGATGGAAAATTCGATGAATTCGGAGCGGGGATGCTGCAGCTGCTCAACGGCAGCCTTGGAGGCAAGGCCGGCATTGATTTGTCCGCGTCGACAGGAAGAATCACCAGCAAACCCTGTCGTTGCGGATCCTTTTAGGCTATAATATCCCCATCTATCCTCCAGTCGATGACCAGTGTGCATCAACCACCAAAACTTTGGCAGAATGCGATAAGGCTGACCGAAGTGGATTTCTGCCATTGCGCTGTCTTAATCAAATATCAACAAGACTGATTCGAGTTGCTGCAACACCAGCATACTTTGGATAGACCTCAGAGCATTAACAAGTCAATCTCCGACCATCCTTGGCCTTTCCGAATCGAGGCACTATCATAAACAGGTAAATTCGCTTCCTTGATCCCAATCAGCAGTCCAACCCTATCAAGCGGTAACGAGACCAGTCTACTACTCAGCGACGATTCGAGTGCGATCGCCGCCCAGATTATGTCAAACCAGAAAATGCGGAGAACAAAGGAGCTGCAGCGCCGCCGGAAATAGAGGCAGGAATGTGATCGACTCACTCTGACGCATCTCCGCAATCCCCCTTGTAGAATGCCAAGCATCGCATCATCACCAAACTTGCATGCAAAGCAACATATAAGGGCTATTCCCGCCCTTGCCAAGCCCAAGTGGTTTAGCCCAGCCTGGAACGACTTGCACTGCCTCATTCTGCGACCCTCAAAGTGACCAAGTCCGCTCGCTGTATCCTAGGTGATCGCGATGATCGTCGACGGGATTGCTACACTTTGCGTACCCTCCTTGTCTTGGCCTGGCTCGGCAGAAATGGTGGATGACCGTTTCATGCCTCACCACACCTGGTGCAGTCATTGTCCGCCTCTTGGCTCCTTGCGACTCGCACTCTCGCCTCCTGCTGTCTCCTCTTCCGCCCTCAGGTCGCACGATGGACGGCGGAAAGAGCTTGGCATAGTGACAGTAGCAGCCGTGCGGGTGACACGGAGGAGTCGCTTTGCTTGAGCCAAGACCGATGCCCTACTAGGCCTGCAACATTGGCGAGCGTAGATGGTCTCTTACCAGTCCAGAGTAGCTAACTCGCTGACCCTGCCACCCACTCAATGGACTCTTACGGTTTGCGAAGCAGGATCGAGGTTGTTTGTGTAGAACGCTTCAGGCACCAGCCAACGCTTTCTATATCACATGCAATGCCTATTAATACAAATGACAACAGACCCAGTCCCCCAAGAACGCCATGATCATCAGTCCCAGACAGCTAGCAGCAGTGATCGCCCGGTAGCAAGGATCCCATATACAATACAGTCGACTTCCCCCTTGTCCGCCGTTCACGGCACCACCTCCACTCCAATCGACTTGGCCTGGGCGATGACACTCTTGCACATGCCCTGCAGACTCAGACCGGACAGTCGCGTCTCGGTGTGCTTGATCTTGGCGATTTCGTAGATGTGCTTGAGAGAGACCTTGCCCACAATCTCGTGGCCGGGGTTCTGGGCCCCGCGGATGCGGTTCTTGCGCGGCTCGACGTTGGCGGCTTGCAGGAGCAGATAGGTCGTAGTCGGGGTCCGGAGGTCAAACAGGAACGAACGGTCGGGACGAACGGTGACGAGGGCCGGGATAGGGACACCGGTGTTGATGTGCGCAGTGCGGGCGTTGAACTCCTGTATAGTGGTGGTTGTCGTGAGCCATGTGTTCTCTTTCTTTCGGGCACCGGTATTTCGCTTCCCCAGGAAATACAGCCGGAATACCAATGGAAAAAAAGGATAACTTATTGTAATCGATCCAATGTGGACATTCAACTCACCTTACAGAAATCCATACTCTTCACACCCTTACTACCCAGGGCCGGACCGACGGGGGGACTGGGGCTGGCCTGGCCAGCTCCCACGATCAGCTTCACGATCTGATCCTTGGGCAATGCCTTCTTCGCCATGATGAGTGATTATCGGAGGTGGGATGACAGATATTCGAGATCGAGAAGAGGGGGCAATTGACAGGCTGCTCAGGTAGTCAACAATCTAACACTTTCGCGGCGGACCCGATGAATGCGGCATTGAGGAACTGCAACTTTTCTTGGGGTTCCCAAAGGGGAAAGGGCGCGGCGGAGGCCGGAGTTTCTTTCCGTTTGGGCGACAAGCGAAACCATCCCGACTTGCAATGCGGACGTCATTCTTCGTCCCTTCGACGATCTATGAACCGCCCAATCCTCATTTCTGGTTCTTCGCCTGGTTCGCAGTGTTGGCATACTCCATAGTAGCTGGCACCAGCTAATTATCACTTGTACGAGAGATATCAGACAATCCTGACCACTGCGTCCTTCACCAACTCTCGAAAGTACCTCTCGGGACCCAGACGGTGATCGACCCTTTTGGGCCCCGCCCGCTATCGATTTCCAGTTCCCGCCCACCTTCCAATCCTCCTGCTACTTTTCTCCCCCCCACCGCTTGTGCTGCTTCATCCTCTCTTACCCATATTCCTCCCCTCTTTCACTCGTACAAACACAGCCCACCATGAACTGGCTTAAGTCTACGTAAGTTGGTGGCTGGTGACTCTAGCGGCTGATAGCCATAGCATCGCCGCATTTACTAATCACTTGCACTGTCTAGTCTCGCGAGCGTTGCTGGCACTCAGGAACCGATCTATGGTCCGGAGGCTATCAGATCGGTTGCCCAGCAGGCGCAAGAAACCCCTTACACCGAACTCACCAAGGATGATCTCCGTTGGCGTGCTCACCAATATACCAACGTCGAGACTCATGTCTTCTATGTCATGGGCGACAATGGTACCCTAGCACTGTGCCAGGTCATCTACAGCAACATTGTGTGAGTTTGGACGGATCTCTTTCGGTAGCTGCATCACTGACCTTGGGATGTGCTCGGACCAGTGGAATTCATACTACCGCCCAGTTCACTTCCAAGATCTTCAACCTCAAGGGTGACGCTCCCCACAACTGGCACTCCGACCCTCTCTCCAACTTCATGTTCGACGAGAGCATGCTTTCCTTTGGCGCCGACAACCTCGCCGTGACGCTGAATGAGGAAGGAGATACCTACACTATCAAGTCGGCGGTGAATGAGGACAGTCTGGTGAACTTGACCTTCAAGCGCACCGCTCCGGGCTTTGTTGTCGGCAAAGACGGTACTTCATTCTTCGGCACGGATCCGCAGAACCCCTGGGGCTCTATGAGCCATGCCTTCTGGCCTCGTTGCGCCGTGGAGGGAACCATCACCACCAAGGAACAGAACTTCGACCTCAAGGGTCGCGGCCTGTTCATCCACGCGCTCCAGGGCATGAAGCCCCACCACGCGGGTAAGTCGGATCTGGGGTTGTCCATGGACCCTGCTGACAGGAAACAGCTGCGAGATGGAACTTCCTCAACTTCCAGACCCCTACTTACTCGGCCATCATGATGGAATACACTACCCCTCCCTCGTACGGATCCACCGTGGTCAACGTCGGTGGTATTGTCAAGGACGGAGAGATCGTCTATGCTGGTAGCACCAACACTGCCACCCACACGGAATCGAACCAGGATGCCGAGAGTGACTGGCCCGAGCCGAGATCCATCAAGTGGGTCTGGGAGGGCAAGTCCAACGATGGCAAGGAGGTTCACGCCGAGGTCGATGGAGCTCTGGGCAGCCGCCTGGACCGGATTGACGTGATGGCCGAGGTCCCAGGCTTCATCAAGACCATTGCTGGCAGTGTTGCCGGTACTCGGCCGTACATCTTCCAGGTATGTATCCTCCGAACTATGTGAAGTCAACATCAAACTAATTGACGGACAGTACTCTCCCCAGGAGAAGCTATCTTTGAAGCTTAAGATCGGCGATGAAGAAATCACCGAAGAGGGTACTTTGTTCTCCGAGGCGACTTTCATCTCATAGAGGGAGGACATGATGCGGACATTGTCCCGGCGTTTTGAGTGGTGTTGAATTTTCACGCTCCCCTTTCATGCATCCATACGCACCGCAACGTGATATTGATTCTAATAGCCTATAAACTTACCACGATATCTAATGTTATGTCATGTGTTACCGTTTTCCAGCGTGTTCCCTTGCGTTTCAGTATGGGAGGTTTTGGGGGGGCAACGCCGAGACTTCCCCTCGCCGACATAATCATCGCAGCACAACACATCACCAGATTTCCCTTTGGCTGTAGACCTCCAAGCTTCAACTCATGCCAACCATCACATCCCCTCACCCAAGACCGACGAAAGCATTACCCTCACATCACCCTCGCATTGCCCCCAGCTAGTCATCATCCCGTCGCCCAGCCTATTCAAGATGGACCTCGATCTCCTCAAGGAGAGTGGCAAGCATCGGGCCTTCATGCCCAGACGCCGATTCCGGTACGCTTTATGCCTTCGCCTTGCTTGCTTTTGCCTTAACTCGAGCTGCTGTCTTTGCCTACAGTACAGCCAGTGTCAATCCCCCAGCTACACTGCCACTAACCTCACTCTCAACGTCCCAGCAAATTGGCTCGAGACAACATCCAGGGTGTCAGTAAGTTGCATCTTTTGCTGCAAGCTATATGATGATACCTCCAGACTGACAGGAATCAGCTCGCCCCGCGATCCGGTATGCGTCCTCCATCCTCTTGCCTTGCAACCGCAATACGAGGATCAGATTGCTCAGCAGCATTTCAAAAAACCAGCTCTGAAGCAATCACTCATCCTGAAGCAAACCAAACTAACCACTCCCATCCTAGCCGTCTCGCCCGCCGCGGTGGCGTCTATCGCATCGGCAACGAGATTTATGAGGAAGCGCGCAGGGCCCTCAAAGATCGTCTTACTGAAGTAAGCCCAGCCCATATCACACTTCTGCAAGCTTCAAACTTCAAAACCTTAGTCCCTATTCCCCAATCTCTTCGGCAAACAGCGAATCACCGGTTCCACAAACCCATACCTCTCATCTCTTTCATCTAACTGTTCACGACAAGATCATCCGCCGCATTGTGCACGTTATGGACAGCGGAACCACTCCAGGCCATGAGCGTAAGGTCAGCTTTCCTCTTTTCATGTCATCTCATTTATAGTTTTACTTTACCCCTGGGAGGAGAGAGAAGAGGAGAGGATCCTGACTTCATTCACTCACTTACGCACTCACTTGTACTGCACTGCACTGTCCTCTGTGTCATCTATGCCCATCCCCCGGTCTTAGTTTCTTTTCATCTGTCTTTCCCTTGTATCAGAAGAAATGATCAAAGCATGCCTTGCTCTAAACGATAGTACACATCCACTAACCAAAACACTGGATAATTATAGGTGGTGACGACTAGAGACGTACGTCCCTTTCCCCTCTTCCCCCCGACTCTCCCCTTCTACGAAACAATGCAGCATCCAGCAGCACAACTGGCAACCCCAACCTAAAGAAGTGAAACGAGCTATAAGTTAACCCACACTGCTAACTGAAATAACACAACAAACAGGTGACGTTTGTTTTGAACCAGGTAAGCAAGCACAAGCACACCCTCACCCTCACCCTCCCAATCCCATACCTCCCCCAGCTCCATGTCCATCCATCCCAGTCTCAGAGATACCACTAGAAACCAAACTAACCCCACGAAAACAAAAGATGGGTAATCCCATCTACGGCTTCCAGTAGCATCTCCAAAACCCCACCCGTCCAAACCCGAAACAAATCCACATCTCTCGCCCACTTTTTTCGTCACGACCTCTTTCTTTTTTCCATTGCACCTACAGACAGTACATGTACATGTACCTCAACGACCAAATCAACAACCAAATCAACCCGACTCACGACTTACGACTTACGATTTATCCCTTCTCTGTCCCGTCCCGGTCCGTGGACCCATACATACCCATACCCTTACCCATACCTATACCCTCAGAAGCCATTCGATCCCCCCTTCGAAAAGCCAGAAGTCAGGAACACGTAACACAAGCCTCACGTACCTTGACTTGACTTGACTTGACTTGATTGGCCTGACGTGACCTTTCTCGCTGGTATATTGATGTTTTGGATCTAGCCTAGGGTTGGGTTCGTGAAAATGGCTTGGTCAGCGGTTTTGTGGACTACACTGGTCTGGGGTTCATCCTGTCTTGACAACTCAGCAGAGCGGGGGTGGAGGGCTTAGTTGATGTTTGTGGTAAAGGGGCAGGCAGGTGGGGTTGGTTTGATTTGTCTTGTCTGGTGCGGTACAGTGCGGTGCTTGGTTGGTGTGGTGTTGTGAGTTGGACTTTCAGCCTTCTGGTGGGAGTGAACTTTGTTTGGTCTGACTTTGTCTGGTCGTGGAAGAAATTGACGATGACGGTGATGATGTTGGCTTGTATCTGGTTACTTTGAATGGGTTGGGAGCTTAGGAGCTGACGGGGGGGTTAAGTTCTGGCCTGGGGACTAAGTGGGTTGGGTTGATCTGATGGCTGTTTCTCTGGGAATGATCATGTGTTCTTATTTGTCGATGCAGTGTCTTGCAATTCAGTGGTGATACTGACTCCCATAGTACTAAGTTTCGTTTTCCTCCGTGGTAAACATTGATGGCTTGTTCCTGGGAGGAGCTGCAACCTACGTAACGAGTTATAGTCTAGACCTCATATTCTCTGAACGGTACAAAGTAGTATTCCGTCCATTCCACGTTCATCTAGACCGCCCCTTTCCTAAACATACAATATAATATTCCGTACACGTCTAGAATACAATCAACCACCTCGAATACCGATCTATTTACCCCCCTCCTCTAAAGTACCCAGTCCACTAAACAAGTAAAGTAAGAAGACAAGAAAAGAAGAGACCAGACTACTCCCTCACAGAGCAGAGTAAGTCAAACATACACAATCGAATCTCCCGCTCCCCATTCGTCACAAATTGTAGGATGAGTCCCACCAAACACAGACCAACTAAGCAGACTCAATCATCAACTGCTCCCCCTCATCCAACAAAGTCGTCACCTTAGCCAGATCGGAGATCATCTTGCGGCCGTGGCCCACCAGCAGCAGCTTCTCCGCGTTCGCCGGCAGACCCAGGTAGGTCGGCGGCTCGCGCTCGGGGAGCTTGTTGACCCAGTCGACGAAGTCGCGGATGCTGGTGCCGCCGGGCAACGTCAAACTGTCGCTGGGGCTGTCGCCAACTCCCGAAACGATCTTGTGCTCGTCCTCGAAGGCGGCCGGGGTGAGGAGGTTAGTCACCAGCGACTCCAGCTGCGCGAAGTCCCCTTGGTCGTCGACCTTGCCGCCGTACGTCTCCGTCACCAGGGTGCGGATCATCTCCCAGGGGAGCTTCTGCGGGGCGACGTTAGAGCGGCCCTGGGCCACGGTGTCGACCCAGTAGTCGATGATGTGCGCGGAGCATTCGTACTGTACGGGGTTAGTGTGTGAGCGAAAAGAAATACACGGCAACAAAACTTACATCGCTGTCGTTAAACTCCCAGAATCCCTTCCATCCCAAGTTCGGAGCATAGCGAAGTCGTTCTTGCACGACGGCATGCAAGAAGCACAGGAGCAGGTAGACACGGGCCTTCTCGACGGGCGCCTTGGAGGCGCGGGTAGACAACGAGGACAGAGAATCCTTCATGTTGGCCCGGACACCGGCGGGCTGCTCGTACATGAGAACGCGCGAGGCACGCAGCAGATTGACCGGGATCTTGGGACTGGATTCCATCGACAGGAAGAGTCGGAAATCCCTGTGCGGCTTGAGCGACTCCAGGCGTTTCTCCAGGCTCTGCAGCCAGGACGGCGCCAGGTGGACGTTCTTGACTTGGACCCAGGTGCCGGCCGCCGCGGCGTTGCTGATCGCTTTGTCGGCACTCTGCAGACCTTCGTTCGATCCCATGGCAATGTTTGCACAGGTAGCGTCCATCCGCTCGACAAGGGCGTCGACCTTGTAGCTCGCGTCGAAGCCAGGGCTCGAGCTCAGGGAAATTGGCGTGGTGGCGTTGACCTGCTCGACAATGTCCTTCAGATCCGTGCTTCCCTCGAATAGTTCCCGACCAAAGACTGCCTCAATGAAGCGCTCCGCAGTGGGAACAAATCTGTCCATGCGGCATAGCTTCACCAGCAACAGTGACCGAAGCAGCTTGTCCAGGTTCTGCATGTTGTCATCCCACACAGCAGGGATGAAGTTCTCCGCCAGCTCCTCGCCGAGGAACTGGTCCCACTGCTCAGGAGAAATGCCGGGGAAGGTTGACTTGAAGATTGACATGTTGGAGATCTTGTTGAGCACTTCAGCCTTGCGCTCAGTCGCTGTAGACAGATCCACGCCCTCCATTGACTCATCAAGGATCATATCGATCAGACTCTTGTCCATCGGGTAGGGCGCAGCCTGAGCAAGGAGCATAGCGAGTGTGATCCGGTCTTTCTGGATCAACCCAAGCGAGGTACGCTGATAGGTCGTAACGAACAGGTCCCGAAGGATGATCTGAACTCGCGCAGCATGGTCCTTCTCCTGAGCAAGACGCTTGTTCTGGTACAAGACGGAGTTGAAAATATCAACAAAGAACTGCAGAGAAAACTGGTAGAAATGGTTGATATGGTGAAGCTGCTCCAGGACGGCAAAAACAGCACTGCAAGAGCGAGCAATGATGCTGTAGTTGAGGGTGATGTTCTCGACTTCCGTCATGACGCCTTCGGTCTCCAGCATCTTCTTCGAAATCTCAGCCGCCTCCTTCTTCAATGTCTCGAGCGTTTCGATGACATTGTCATCGTCCAAGATATTGCCGCGAGACTCGTTCAGCGCTTGAAGAAGTCGCTTTTCGAGTTGACGAAGATGGATCTTGAATTCTCCCTGCAATTTGACCAGATCGGTACGCCGGGCATCGACGTCGGGGCGCTCAAACTTCAGGACCTCGTTCAGAGACTGCGTCTGCAAGCTGCTCTGCGTGACAGTAAAATTGACAAAGGTTGTTCGACTGCAAACATCCGGAGGGAACGAGGCAGACGGATCTCTTGTGGAGAGAAATAATTTGAACGAAGGAGAGAAATCAATCTCTTGCTTGCCAAGTTGGATAAGCACACGACCACCAGTCTTCTGGTACTCCTTATTGAGAACATGGTTCAGAATGGGGTCCAGATGCTCGGCATCCTGAATGAGAATGGGATTGCCGAAACGCAGAGCACTTTCCAATTGCTTGACAAAGGAGTCGTCCAAGAAGCTCGTAACGGTAAGTTTTCTATCCGTGCTTTCCTTCTCCAGGAACTCCGTAACACGACCAGACGGGTCAATGATGAGGGGATATCTGTTGTAGCGCTTGAGGATGATGGCGTTCTCCGTGCAAAGGTCATCAACGGGCAACGAGTGATCTTGCCAAGTGAGGCGCTCATCGGCGTTCGACAGGTACTCGGTGATGGGGTTGTGTGGCTTGAAGCCAATACCTGACTGCTGCAGCTGATTGACCCATTCGTCGATCATGGCTTTGCGGAACTGTTGATCGTAGAAACCAGCATAGGCAAGGAAGGCTGCTGCGATGAGCACATCACCAACCAGCGTGCTGATCTGCGTCTCGAACGATTTGCTTCCCTCCTCCCATCTAATGCGTTCCGACGAGAGACTGTCCAGCAAACGGACACTGCGGTCGACCTTGAATTGTACTCTTTCCATTTCTGCCTTGATAGCCTGAGTCTCGGAGATGAGTGCTGCGTATTCCTCCTTGTAGGTGGCGATACTGCTCTCAAGGTCTCTGATAGTCTTGTCGATGGTCTGGGCCTCAGCTTTGGTCTGAAGAGCTTGTTCCTCCAGCTGGTCGACTTCCTCACGGAGGGGTCCAACACGGTCCAAGATCTCGGAATAATTGACTTGTGCTTCGACCCATTGCACCAAAGGACCACAGGCCTTACTGGCGCGGTTCACTCTCTCGTAGGTGAAGTCCTCTTTGGAAAGGAATTCAGCTTGCATCTTCACCCTGAGTTGCTTCGTCATCTGCTTCTCATTGTCGTAGTTCACGATGCTTGCGATAAAATCATCTTTGCGGATGATTCCCTGAATGGTCTTCCAGCTATCGGGCCGATGGCCCAGTAGAGCGCAGACAGCTTCCAGAGCAAGCCGAACACTGGCAGGGGGATTGCCCATGGACCGGACTTCGGTCAAATGCTGACGCTTGATATTGCTGACACTCTTCTGAGCCTCCAAGACGGCCGGCTCGGCTCGAGCAAGGTCGTTCAGAACGACCTCTTTCCGGAGTGCAACCTCCTTCTCCTGCTTCTCCAAGGCTGCTTGTACTTCGAGAGAGACAGTCTTACGCTGCTCGGCCTCTCGTTGATCGGCAACCATACGCTGCAGCTTTTCATTGGCTTCCGTATCTTTCTTCTCTAGCTGCGTCTTCTTCTGCGCAAGACTGGCTCGAAGATCGCGAACCTTGTCGACCGTATCGCGCAACTTCTCAAGACCCACGTTCAAATGTCTTTGCTGCTCCTCGAGGTCCTCTCGCTTCTCATTGAAAAGCTTGACATATTGGGCGACGAAGTCGAGGTAGTGGCGAGGAGTCAGATACGTGGTCCGGTCTTGTTGCTTCTGCAGGCGCTGGTTGAATCTTTGTAGCGAGTAGTGAATGTACACCATAGAGTTGACAACAGCATCCCGATGAGATGCAGGTAGGCTGAGCTCGCGATAAGCAACAGGGATGCTATCAGGGGCAACAAAGTTGGGCTTGTCCAAGTCGACCGACTGCGTGAGCTCAGAACCAACTTGGAAGAGAGCCTGGTCCGACCAGTCGCCCATCCAGTTGAGAACGCATCTGTTGAACAGCGCGGGACTTGTTGCAGCCTTGGATGACAACCCTTCCTCTGGCGGATTCATGGTAAACACGACGTGAAGGTTCTTGACGATTTGCTGCGTGAACCACTTGTACAATTCTTCCTGGCTGTCGAGCAGGAGACCTTGACGCTGTGCGCCCTCCTTGCAAGCTGTCATCAGGGAGGAGAATTCATCACCTTCAAACAGACCCGGAACCTCGGCATTGGCAAGAAGAGTGTTCATACGTTCAAGGAATCCCGAGTCGAGGACGTTTGCTTCGTCCATGATGAAACAGATTTTTTCACCCCTGCAACCTGCGCGGCGAAGAACAGTCCGAAGGTCATCGTCGAAATCTTCGGAAGAGTACTTTCCATGCACCTTGATTTGGAATACCTTCAGACCATTCATCCAGGCTACAAAACGAGACAGCGTGGTCTTACCACTGCCGCTGACACCGATAAGAATGAGATGGCCCTGAGGCTGACGAAATACGCGGTCAATGCGCAAGGCATGCTCGAGGACATCATTGAACAGGACGAGAGGCACGTCAACTTCTTCCTCACAGAATGTCTTGAGGCGTGCCTTAACAAAGTCACGTAGGCGCTCCTGCTCAACTGGAACATAGTTCTTGGAGAGCCAGTTGGAGAACAAGATCGGGCCCTTCAATGCTTGCTCTTCGTCGATTGTGGGGAAGTTGTCAAGCGCAATACGGCGCACAGCGTCCGCAGTCCAGCTTCGTTCTTCCTCGGTAGTAAGTCGATCCTGGAAGAGACGCAATGCTTCGTGCGCCCAAATCCGAACGAGACCCTCGACAGAAAGTGTTTCAAGCGGTTTAATAGCTTCGTAAACACCACGAACCCATCTGGTAAGTTCACGCGGCGAGTAAACGTAGTGGGGTTGGATTTGAGGCGTGAACCTGGTCTGCGACTCCAGGTAGAATCGAACCATGGCCTTTGTGAGTGATTCGGAGTATCCGCGCAACAAAGGAAGAATCTTGAGGATTGCAGAGTTGAAGGTTCCATAAATCTGCATGAGGGAGATCTCTCCCGGGTAATCGACCATGATAAGAGGAGCGTGACGCAAGAAACGTTCGGCCATGGGGGTACGTCCTGCATCGGTGGGAGGGTTACAAGCGCCGACAAACTGAATGCGATCGAGAGTGACCCATGTTTTGTCTGAGGTCCTCCAGAAGCCATTTTGCTCCACAAGCTGGCGAAGGAAGGAGATTGCCCGCTGGGTTCCATATCTGTCGGGAGCAGGCAAGTTGATCTCATCACAGAAGATGACCAGCCAGCGGCCAATCTGGTTTGGAGACATGACAACACCGTTAAGAGTCTTCTTATACTCACAGTACTGCTCAAAGGTCTTGATCAAGAGATCAGGAGTAGTGGCGCTAGAGAAGTTGAGGCCGACAACCTCCATATTCGGCAGCTTTCGAAGGGCAGCGAACAGTGTCATGGTTTTACCAGAACCTGGAGGACCACACAGCAACAAAGGCTTGTGCTCCGCGAGCCAGGAGTACAGAACGTCTTCATGGCGAACAGTATCCACAGTAGGAATGACCACATCAGTTTGAGTGATGGAATGCGTGTTGATCTCCACGGAGGGCACTTGTGATTGCCAGCTTGTCCACTCAGCCTTGGGCAGAGTAATATCAAAGTCGATGATAGACGACGTTCCATCAGGTGGAAGATCAGTTGTCGTCAACGCAGACACAAATTGACCAAAGGCTTTGCGGTCTGCCAGGGGGCAGTCACCTGTGAAAGACCACACAAGGGCAAGGAGAAGCTTCTTCGAAATGTAGGCTTCGATCTGCTCAGAGTCCAAGGGGAAATCAACGTGTTGGATATTGTACTCGAGAATGTTGCGACAGGCCTTGTTGAGAAGACTAAACAGAGTGTTCAGTGCACGGATACTGGTAAACTCCATGATGTGATTGTAGTTCTTAGCTTCGTCGAGAGACTTCAAGACAAGCTCATCAGTCTGCAGCAGATGTTTGAGAATATTGGAAAGCATCTCCTGGGCATCCTGAGTTTTGATGGCAGCTTGGCCCGCGGGAGCACTGTCATCGTCCAGATCCTCGAAGGTTCGGGTCCTGAGCGACTCGACATAGTTCGAGATCATCATGGAAGGAGTAACCGTGTCGTCGTTGAACCAGACCATACCGCAACGACTGACCGTCGCCAGAGTCGCGTACTTCAAGCTTTCGACTTCAAACATGATACGAACGTTGGGTGGCAGGTTGAGACGCTCTCCGTTCGGAAGTGTCAGGAGCTTGTTGTCATCCAAGACACTGTTCAAGTTCTCTACCCATTCCGGATCGACATCACCATCGAAAACAATCCAGTGACGCTTCGCGTCTTCACCTCGAAGGTTGTCTACGATCTTTCTGAGGATACCAGTGAAGAGACCGTCGGTCCATTCTCTAGTCGTCGGATCCAAGCTACCATATAGTGCCTCCTTGGACATGACCTTGGAGTCAATAATGTGAGAAACGCTCTCGACATTTTCGATGCGCTGAAGAGCCTGCAGCAGAATCTTCCATGCAGCAGATTTACCGGACCCCGACTTACCCACCATCATCACACCGTGATGAATACTCTGGATCTGGAAGAGCTGCAGGGCCTTTGTAATCCACATCTCGCTGTCGACATAGTGTTGCTCGTTGGCGATTTCACGAACGGCTGCAGTGAGCTTTTCATAGTTGGCAGGCACGTATTCGACTCCTGCGAAGTCTTGCCTTTGGATATCCAGCATTCTATCGACATCCTCACGAACCAGCTTCGGGGCAATCGTTTCGCGCAGACTCTGGACAATGATCTGCGGCTCAATGATCTCATCAGGTCCCAGATCACCACCCGAGTTGGCTATTCTGGTACGCTTGAGACCTCCTGAACTGACCAAGACACTCTTGAGGGCACGAAGACCGAAATCGTAGTGAGCCTGCTTGGACAACTGCGAGGAACAGTGGTCGAAGAAGGGAACGGTCTGTTTCGACAGACGCTTGGCTTGCTTGAAGCCCTGAGAGAAAAGCATCACCTCCGTGATCAATTCCTTGTCTGGCTTGGACATAGCCACGCTCCGGAAGAGTTTCTTCAAGTTGTCTGGGAGGTTGGAACGTCCCGCATATCCAGGGTTCATGGTGATGAAGATACCAGTGTTGGGGTTGACGGAGAGACGTCTACCGACCAGCTCTATTTGGGCCTTTTCGTCATCTTCACCTGTCCGAAGACCGATCTGGATATTCTGAATCTGCTGAGACACGGCCGACAGGATTCTCTCTTCGAGACGGTTGAACTCGTCAAAACAACCCCAGGCACCGACCTGACAGATACCCAGGAAGATGCGGCCCATGGCCTGGAAATCGAAAGTGTCGTCACAGCAGAAAACGAGAGTGAATCTTCCGAGCTGGAGGCCAAGTGCTTTAACTGACTCAGTCTTTCCGGTACCGGCGGGACCATAAGGAGAACCTCCCAGTCTTTGACACAGAGCCTGGGTGAGGGTGAGGAAACAACGATCGGTAAGAGGAGTGCGAACAAGCCGTTCAGGAACACCCAGATATTCGAAACCATAGTTCAGCTTAGCATTAGCCATGTGAACATACAATCTCTGGAGGAAGTCTCCTTCAGGATGGTAGACGTAGCGCATCTGAAGGAGCCACAAGTAGTGAGTCGGTGTGGAAGCATTCATGGAGATGAGTTTAGAGATGACATCTCGCTGGTGGACGAATTCCGTGATCATGTGCTCACACTTCTTTCTGGTGATTCCATCCAACTCGCCAAGGACCGTGGCGGCCAACAGCTCCAATACTCGGACTTGAGACTCAAACAATGCGGGAAGATTGCTTCCGCCGCTCTCCAAGGATCTCTGAACAGCACCGGTCCACACAACCTGACTGGCAAGAACCACGATTTGTGCGGGATAGTTGGCCAGGAAATCATTAAAGGCAGTGTGATCAACTTCTGGGGCATTGTAGAGCGGTTCAAATTGTTCCACCGCTTCCGCCAGAAGCTCGGCAAGGGTCAGCTTCATGTTGCTCTCAATAGCACTGAGCCAGTCGTTGATCCGAGGCGTCTTGACCAGGTTGATCTCCTTCTTGAGTCGAACCTCCTCACCTTCCTTGGAGGTAAAGCCAATGATGTTGTTATCATCGTCCATCAGAACACCCGAGAGACCAGCGAACATCTTCTTGAAGTGTTTTGCGACGCGGAAAACGTCGTTGGAGTTACCAATGATCTCAAGCAGATCCTCATCACCAACGAAGTAGAAACGAGGAAAGGACACACGCTCCCGCTCGAGATACTCTCCCAGAGCCTTTTGGATCTTGTTCAGCAGCTCGGCCAAACGCTCGAGAGACTTTTGTACTCCATTGATAGCGAGTACATCCAGCACGAAGGGCGACTTGTAGACCTTCTTCATGACGGCGAAGAATTCAGAGTTGATGTTCTGGAAGCGACTAGATTCAAGTGGCAGCAGGTGCTTGATATCTGCATTACCAGTAAAAACTCCTTCAAGGTAAACCCACTGTCTCTGAACATCAATCCAGACGTCAAAAAGAACATGAACTCTGTTAAGCTTGTCCTCCCAAGAGGAAGCTTCCTCCTCAAATTCCTTGTAGTAAGGAGAATGCTTCATTGCCTGGAGAGAGTTCAAATTCTCGCTACATTTGGCAAACAAGTCGTCGAAGCCACGAATGAGACGGCATTTGTTCTGATAGTTGACAAGGTCGAGGGAGTAGTTCTGCCATGTTTCACGGACCGACTTCAGGAACTCTTCGAGGGCCATCTCACCCTGTGCTTGGGCAATGATATTACGGATTATTGTCTCGCTAACCGCAAGCTGAAGATCCCAAACATCTCCGAGGGTCAGGGAAACGAGTGAGAACCTCTTGCCGGGTTTCAATGCCTTGTAGATCTTGTGCCAATGTCTCTCGCGAACGGCCTCAGATTTCATGTCCGAGAGCAAGGGGTTCACTTTGAGAAGCTGGCGAAGCACATTCTGGATGTGTTCGAAGGCTGCGTATTGGCGCATGCGACTAGGCATCTCCTTTGTCATCTTGATCAATCCATCAATGGATTGACGAAGTTTTCTCGGTTGAACACTAGTCCAGAGCATGTCCCTCAGGTCGTTAAGGCTCTTCCAGATGGTCGACAGAGCTGCCCAGACAGACATGAAATCTTGCACCTCTTCCAAAATGGCGGGTAACGCAGACTCTACGCCCGCTGGAAGGTCGAGAGCCTCCTTCGCTTTCGAAACCATCTCATACTCGGACTGCAGAGACTCCAGACGAGACTGGAACGAGCTCAGTGTGCGAGACGCTTCTTCGGGCGGAATTGTACCGGACACGGGCTTCTCTTCGTTCCACTGGCTGATGACTTCCGTGATCTTGTCGCCAATGACCTTGTCTTCGGCCGCAATCTTCGCACGCAGTCCTTCGGTTTGGTCCTGGACGATCTTGCTCTTCCGCGCAAGGAGCTCGTTCAAGGCTGCCCATTCGCCATCAACGTTTTCAACGTGAAGCCAATCGCTGGGGAACTGATAGCGCTGACGAGCAAGTGTAGCTTGGCCTTGACGGAAAAGATCGACCTCTGGTTCCCAAACCTTGGCTTTGCGCTTGCACTGCTGAACAATTGTAATGAAAGAGACAGCGTGGGCCGTAGAGGCTGCCTCCAAAGTTTGTCCTTCCAGGTCCCTGCGAGCAGCAGCGATCTCAGAATGAATCTCCCTCATTCGGCCTCCAAGCTTAGATCCAAACTTGAGCAGGATCTCATGCTGCCATTGATCATACTTGGAATTCACTCGCGTCTGGACTTGTTCGTAGTCAATCTTAATGTTGCCAAATGACCGGCTCACTTCCGAGGTATCGAAGGTAGCACGGCTCTTTCGAATCTCTTGGAGGAGTTGCAACCATTGAGACAGGTCATCACCAAGGATGTCATAGACTTGTTCTGACTGCAAGTCCCAGAGGGACTGGAATTGCAGCCATTTTTCCACGTACGCCGAAACATCCTTCAGTCTCGACTCAATAGCATTGTAGACCTGGTTCAATTCATTGGTGCAGTGTTGGGGAAGAGTAGCGAAGCATGCCTCAGAGAGCTGAATCTTCTGCACATCGATTGAAATCTGGTATCTAGACGACTTAATCTTCTCAAGATTGCAGATGACACCAAGCCAGTTGTCAAAATGAGCGAACCAGCTGGCGCGGGCATACTGCAGAGGTGGGTCAAGGTGGAGAACCTGGTTGCGCATGGAGATCTCGTGTACGAGGCCGGGGAACTCGATGCTGTACAAAGAAGCTTCGTTCTCACCGGTCTGTACTCTACTGGAGATTTGCATGGTGTGATGACTGTCCGTTGCGTCCTGGAAAGAGAGAATCCATTCGCGTATGGCGCGATGAAGGCGCTCGCGCAGAATCAATTCAATCTTGTGGTTCAGGTTGGCGACCCAGTATCCCAGGTTCACATAGTTCTCTAAGTTCAGCTTGTCGACTGCGACCTGAATAGCATCTAGGCGTTGTCTAAACGCAGTAGCATCATAAGGGCAGGTCTTCAGCTCATGAATTGCCTTCTGGATAATTTCATTGATCGAAGCCAGGACCGCTGTCTTGGACTGAAGTACGGATGCTGATCCAGCGAACTCACGGACGAACTGAACATGCTTGCTTTCTCCCCTGGTTGGGATGGCCGTCTCAATGGCTCCGTTAGCCAACGCAGACTGTTTAACATGGAGCTCATATGAGTGGACAAACGATTCCCATCGTAGGGGAACACCCTTGATGATCATGGTTTGAGCGTCGTTCACGTATCCATTCAACAGGATTGCAACATCGGTCATGGTCATAATCGAGCGATTTGTTTGTAGCAGGGTGCGGACACTCTCCATCAGGCTGATGGCATATGGGTAGACGCGCTTGGCTTCTTTGGAAATGTTGCTGACCGCATGGGGAACTTGGAAATTAAGCCAGATAAGGTTTCTTACTTCCTTAAACAAGGCAATGATCTGGGCATCAAAATTGACAGTAAGTTCCAGCGTGTTTCCAGCAGCACGGTTGCGCACAATGTTGAACAGGCGGCCGGAAATGGTGATGTGCCGCCGTTGTACATCGTGGAGCCAAGACTCAAAGACCGGGCGCGTATCCAGTTTCTTGCGGAACAGATTACTCTCAGCCTGGAGCTTCTGCCCCTCAGAATGAAGGTGCCAATCTTCTCCAAGCACGTTCTCAACTTTGCGCATGTATCCGTCTAATTGACGCTCAATCTGCCGCGCCCAAACAATGGCACCGGCAACAGGGGGCATATCGCGCAATTGCGCCATTGCATGTGCTTCTGAGTGACCATATTGTTGCTTGAAACGCTCATGCAAGGATGAGATATCTTGCTTGACGTTTTCAATGAGTTGAGTCTGGTACTCGCCGATAGCACCCCGGATTTTAGGGCGGACGAGAAGAGCATTAAATTTGGAGAAGACACGGAACATCTCATTGGCGTTCTTTGCAGTTGCCAGACGGTCTCGAAGACGGGCTATGATAGAGTTCTCGACACGGGACGTACGCTCATTGTAAGCGATCTCTTCTTTAATCCACTGCTGGGTGCCAGAAGGAGAGACATCCAACACGTCAACATTCTTCAGGGCTGCGTAAGCTTGAGCGACTTCTTCAACAGCGTCAACGTCGCCAATCTCCTCGACAATGACGGCTCCATCAGAACCAGCTCCGGCAACCGCATCCCCAGCAGAAGTTGTCTTTGGACCGAGGACGTTCACGATTGTACGTTGAAGCTGCTCATGATTGACTCTGAAGGTATTAATATACTTCAATCGTTCTTGGGTCTTCTCGTGGCGCGCGGCGATCTTGATCGGAATGAACTTCTCATTGCGGCGTCGAGTAGACTCACGAGCGACATTGGTGAACTCTTTCAAATTTTCATCCCAGGTTCGCCAGATGGCGCCGGCTGTCTTCATCAACGATCGGAACTCACGGTAATCGAGATGGAGGATAGTAGGGCCGTGTAGAAGGGAATGGATCACGTTGTCAAGGTCTCCAGAGATAGCTTCCACCAAGGAAAGTGCGCGCTTAATGGGATAGGGGCAGATCTTCAACTTCTTGTTCAGATGGTTGAAGATCAAGTTCAGGGATTCCTGGACTTTCTGCAACGTGGTTGCAGACAGCAACTCATCCAGGGGAAAGTCCCGCATAAGCTGGTTGTATTTCTGAACCAAATCGGTTGCCTCGCGCAAGCCCGTGTCCGCGACGAAGCTGAGAGTCGCTTGATAACGTTTCGCATGGCGCAAGATGTCCATCGTCAACTGAACGCCGTCGCCGCGCAGTTGAGCTTCGATACCTTCGAGAGCAGTTTCCATTGACAGCCAGAAGCTGATCTCTTGAGCTGCGGACCCGCTATCGGCATCACGAGACATCTTGGTGATGGTCTGAATCGACCGAATCCAGCCGTTGACGTTGTTCTGGATACTGTTGATGAAAGCGCTGCTCTCCAGTATCGTCGGGCTGATCAGCTCCACCGACGGCCTGACTCCGCGCTTTTCTGCCTCGAGCAGCGCCCCCTGGACCACCTCATGAAGCGGCAGATTCAAGGCGGGGATCTCGACATTCTGCTGTAAATGCTGAAACGCGAGTTCCAGCTCCGCGAATTTCTTCTTGGTGCCAGGGACCCCAGTCTTCACCTCCGTATCCGTCCGGGGCTTTGCTCCACTAGCGACGTCCTGGGTGCGGCTATGAGCTTCGAAGTAAGGGCTGAGCGCGTGGCGAAGCAGCAGGTGTAGGATCTCGTAGGGTGAAAGGGCGTTGCTCTGCTGAGTCGGATCGGTACTCAAGGAAGCGACACCCGGAAGGTTGAGCACCTGGATCTGCGACGAGATGGGGAGCGAGGGATCGATGGCCGAGGGCCGCTTGATGAAGGCGACGGAGGCGACGGTTGTCGGGGCGGACGAGATTTCTGCGGCGAGGCTGTACACGTACTGGCTTGACGATTCTGCGCAATTTGAAGATAATGGATTAGCTGGAATTGATCGCAAAAGCAGCATGGTGTCTGTCCCAGGAGGAGTAGGTACCCTCGTCAACGTCGGCCCCGTTGGCCTCTCCAGCGGCCACCAGGTCCTTCTGCACATAGAGAGCGACCTGCGACTCTGAGGCAAACCGGGTGCAGCGCTGCACAGTCTCATTGTATTTGGCCTCGGATAGCAAGCTGCCGGTGCTTTCCAGCTCGGTTCTCAGAGCGCCGAGAGTCACCTCCAACACACCGATCAAATACTGAATGACAGCACTTGGATCCACCAAAGCTGTCGTCTGCGCCGATGGCGGGGCCCCGTTTGAGACCTCCGCACTGGCAACCTCCATATCTGTAACGCCTTATGTACAACGATGCGCGAATGTCATAGAGTTTGTAGGATGGGTTTCGTTCTTGTTGTTAGATTCGGGAGAAAGAGGAGCCGGGGGGGGGGGGGGGGGGGGGGAGCGGGAGAAGATGCGGATTTGTTGACACCAGAAAGTCGCGGTATCGGTTCGGGTGCGCGGAATCAAACTAAGCTCTAGGTATAACTAGCCGGAACTTAGAATACCATGGCAGAAAAGAGAGCGATCGAATGAATGAAGCGAGCTGAAAGTGAGGAAATGAAATGAGAAGCTGTATGTTCAGGGGTTCATAAAAGGGCTTTGTAGGTAGTATGATAACACCAAAGATCTTCCGATCGGGCTTTCAGTTTATTGTGGTTCCAGGCACTTTTTTTCCCAACCAGCGGACGCGGGTTGGAGAACAACAGACCGTCAGTCAGTCAGTCAGGGGGCATGCCTGCCACCTTCCCTGTTTAAGACTAGCCGCTCCGTGCCCCAGCTCTTGCCTACCACGGATCTGCACGCCCAGTCTAGACTGCCTACGGAGTACACCACCACATCTATAATCATAGATCTTGACAGCCACATCAACTCTTCATTCAACATTTTGTCGACTGATTTGACTTCATAAAGCACATCATTCCTCATATCGCTGTCCCGATTTCCTGGTCCGCCGCATCACACACCTCCCGACAATCGCAATTATATTTCTTGCGGAACTCCAACCGCGTCATTCCCCCCAGAGCCGCCAATGCCCTCTCGCTGGCCTTGACTTTGGCGTAGCGACTAGACGACGACATACCCTCGGCAATGACCACATCATGCACAAAGACTGCTGCCAGCACACTTGCTTGAGTCCCGTCGGCGCCGGGCAGCTCTCCAGCTTTCAGGCAGTAGTTCAAACAACCATACTCATTTCCGAGTCGGTTATGGAGGAACGTCTAGCCGAGGTCAGTCATCACCTCAAATTAACAAGCAAGGAAGTGGCTCCTACGGTTGGATGCTTGTTAGCAAATGTGTCGTAGATGGCCATGTCCTCGAAATAGGGCTGGATAAAGCGACGGAAGAAGTCTTCAATCACCTCGAAGTCAAAGCTCGAGTCAACGAAGATGGCTCCCAAGTAGGCCTCCACCATATCCGGCAAGCACTAGACAGTCAAATTAGCCTGGTTCGGTACATCTGGATCAGACATCTCCCTACCTTCGGAGGATCGTTAGCATCAACCCAGTAATCTACTGCACCTTTGCTATCACTCTCCGCAATCTGAATTGCTTGCGCATAAAGAGTGATTTGTGACTGTAAAGGGTTGCTAAAATGTTTCAAGTGCGTGTGAAGGCCCAGCTTAACCGCTAAGGCACCGAGGTACTTGTTAGACACCATCGCCATCTGCAGCTCAATTGTCAATAATGTTCTTGCCAGTTCCATGGCGGTCAGTCGCCTACCTTGTGCTCGGTGAGCCATTGAGGATCTCGATCTGGGAAACGGTGGAATATATTCTCGACACAGACCATGTCAAGCAAAGCGTCTCCAAGAAACTCCAGTCGCTGGTAGCAGGGAACCTTAGCCCAAGCGGAGGGCAGGGAAGGGTGTGTGAACGCGGATCGCAAGAGCCGGGGATACTTGAAACTGTAACCGAGCTTCTCCTCGACCTGTCGGGCCAAATCAAGCTCGAAACCATCAGGGGTCTGGACTTGATATCTAGGCATGCTGTATAGACTCTGGTAAGCCCTCCAGGAGGTAACTTTGTGGCTCGCATCGTCTACTAGAGCAGTCACTGCTTTTACTGCCATGTCAAATCGATGCCGGGGTCCCCCGGTGAGCAGAGATGCTCCGATCAACGCCTCACAGACATCGGCGATGGTCTTCTCTCCGAGTGCATGTTTACTTTCCGAGCTCATCTGCTTGCTGTGGTTCTTTCCCCGCAAGAGGCTCAAGCCATCAGGATACCATGTGTGTCTTTAGTAGTTGTTAGTGAATTATGTCCATCTAATATGTCTAGGGGCTTCATACCGAGAGAAACCTTGAGTCCTAATATACTTGTAGAGTTCCTTCTGTACCGCAGTGTTGAATAAGTTCCTGTTACAGACAAGACACATTCGGCTGACATGGTAGTCGAATTCGTCATCGTCTGGGTTTTGTGAGAAAAGAGCAATGGAGGTAGCCATCTTGAGAAAGCAGTCCCCAAGAAACTCGAGGCGCTCGTAGTTTTTCCCCATACCCCGTTGCACGTGAAGTTGCTGGGCTCGATGCTCCTCTGTGTTATCAGAATCCTTGGTTAAAGCCTCGAGTGCAAACTCAAGCTTGATCGTAAGATCCAACCCGGCGCAAGTTTCCAGGGTTATCAGATACGAGTTCATCCTGGATATAATGGCAGGAAAAGCCAGACATGAGGCTGCTACAGAAGCAGGAATCTTGTTATGGTCAGTTCAGAAAGCAGCTGAGAACGGGGCAGAAGAAATCACGAACAGCAGAAATCTTAAGTGGCTCTACGCAAATATAACACCTCGTTTCGACGTCTCTTTCTGCGTCCGTCATTTTATCCAACAGGTTTCTGCGAAGGCGAACTAACTCCGCTTTCAAGACAGGCTGGTTCCAATCGCAACCCGAGAGGAATTTGGCACGCGAGTTCTTCGAAAGACTAGTGCTGTAATTCATGATATCGTTCATGTACCTGCGCCGTGCCACGAAAGGAGGTGGGGGATCTGAGGGGTGTAGAGATTTCTCAACCGCAAGAGTGAAGTATCTGCACGCTCCGTTCCAGTTATCGAAGACCAGGCGATCGAGCAGATAATTGGAATTTGCGTTGCTTGGAACCGGCAAAGTCTCGTTCTTATACATATGGATCACGGTCTTCCAATCAATCAAGTCCCTGGGGTTGGTGTCTCGATCTGGAATTACTTGTATATGTGTCGGTCCTAGCCAATATGTCATCCTCTCGGGTTGGTAATCATAGGTCTTGTGAAAGATATCACCGAACACTCGAAGGAAAAATGTCGTCAAATATTGCAGCTCCATCTTTGAGATTCTTAGCTGTTCTTTCAAAGGAACCAGATGCACAATCGTCTCTATATCCTCATCGAGATAGATGGGAAATGCTGGAAACTCGGGAAGGGGGTTCCTAGTTAGCAACAAGAGACTTGCATGTTGTCTTGTCAGCGGACCAGAAGGTTTCAACAGGACTACAGTGATGTAAAGACTACTTGGACGCTCGCCTCTTTTGTCTTCCCAGAATGACGGTTTGACTATCATGTCGTACTGGCTAGTCTGCTTGGAGGTTATGGCAAGCTTGGCATTCCTCATCGCAGGCAAGCGACGGTGGAACATTGACTTGAAGTGATTGTCGAGCAACCCAGCTTTGCGTAGCCGTATGCAGGTATCAAATGCTGCAGACTGCATTGCTCTCGATTTTCGGATCTCCGGGCTCCCAGTGAGCCCTACCACTGGCGACTTCTCAGGCAGAATAACCTCGCAAACAAAGGCATTGTTGACAGGAAGTACCACATAGTGCACTTTCGCGTCTTGCTCTTTCTCATATTGCTTGAATGGTTGCTACGTCAGCACAATGACATTCTATCACATGGATCGCATTTACCAGAGAGCTAGCATAGCGAGCGAGTATGGCAATGGCGGAGTGATAGGTCAACTTGGCACCAGATGCTTGGATGGTGAAAGTCCGCTTGCCGGCTTCTTTCTCCAAAACCTTTTCTAGGTCATCGTTTCCATGCAACAATCTGTTCTCAGGCAGAGCTTCGCAGAATTGTTGCATTATGCTCTGTATCAGATTAGCCCGGCTCTTGTAAGCACGATGTAAACCTACCTCGGCATCTCGAACCTCCGACAGTCGGCCCTGGTGCTGCGGATTGTATTTTTCGACCATAATTGCATACTGTGAATGACATAAGCGTTGACCTCGGCGGATCGGGAGTCATCTCTCATACCGTTGACCTGTAGTGTCGGGCACGGCCACGGCTCTGCACGTACTGAATGAGTGTCTGATAAAGATCGAACCTATGCTATAAGTCAGACGCTCTCAATGGTGGATGTGTAGTTCTGAATACCTAACAACGAGGTTGCAGTCCGGGATATCGAGACCTTCTTCAGCTACCGAGGTAGCGAACTTATCTAGTCAGCATTATTGTTTCTGTATGCAGGATCATCACATACCAGGCAGTTGATTTCTCCTTCTCTGAACTTGATCAGGTTAAGGAATTGCTGACGAAAGGTTATGCCCATTCCTGCAACGTCACCCGATCGAACTCCAATAAGCACACCAGGTCGAAGGAAAGGGATAGATAGGTTGTTGAAAAGCTCAAACAGCATCAAGGCAGTGTAGCGTTTTTCTGTGAAGACAATGCACTTTGTCTGATCTGGATGCAGAAAGCGCTTCTGCAGCTCTGCACGGAGCAGCTGCACCTTAGAGCTTAACGTCCCTGGACTGAGAGGGCTACTGAGCTCATATCTTTTGACAAGGTCGCTGGCTTCTCTGATTCGCAAGATTTGTGCATGCGTGTCCTGGGACTCTGTGAGTGAACTATTAGACTCAACCGACTTGTTGATCTTCCCCTCGAGTTTGGGCAGAACGTCATCTGCTAAAGCACGTAGCCATGCTCTATCCGAGCACCAACTACCTAGCTCAGAGGTTGCCTGCCAGGCAAATTTGAAAATGCCCTCGAGACACTCGAGATCACCAAAACGCTGCTTGAGATCTTTGTACAAGGCTGTCGCTACCGGGGGCTCCAATCTCGTGTATTCCCACGTTTCTTCGACTGGACGATTGACATATTGGCGCAGTAAGGTAGCCTGGGATGTTGTGGCAATAGTGCTGTCAAGCAACGTTTCGAGTCTCCTATGAGACGTTAGCAAGTGCATCTGAGAGAAAGAGGAAAGCTTGTTCATACATCGCAGCATCGACCACATCACCTTTGGTGTCCACTGGCGAAGCCGTCATCCCAAATATCCTTGGCCGTTTTGAAGGAACCTCCTTCAGGTATGTGTCACGAATAATCCTAAGCCCAGTTAGACATTGTACTTGAGTTTTGTCATACAATGCACCAACCGTGCATACGGATGATCTTTCTTGGTATGATGAGCTTCGTCAAAGATCAAGAGATTGATCTGATCCATCCTGATGTAAGAATTGAGCAAGCACTGATGCAGGATCTCCGCCGTGCAGACAATGACCATGTTTGTCTTGAAATGCTCATCCCAGATCTCCTTGTTCCATAGATCAGTTCCCATGGCGCCGAAGAACTGACCAACGCTCTGATCAAGGTTGTGACGCAGCACTGCCGCTTGCTGAAACGCGAGAGTAACGCTATCAACCTGTAGACGAGTAAGCTTTCTCATATAACCATGGAGAGGTATACGCACCAAGAAAAAAGATATGCGATGCGGCTTGTCTTGAGCACGATCATTTAGCTCGTTTTGCAGTGTATGCCTCAGCAGCAGCACTGCGATCAAAGTCTTTCCCGAGCCTATAACTCACATGGATCAGATATGCCAGACTTGATGAGTGGATGTCAATCTATACCAGTTTCGAGAACGGCAATCGTGTTCTGTGCTTTGGCCCTTTCGAATAGTTCCACCTGGTAGTCTCTTGGGTCCAAGGTACCAGTGGCAAGATCATGCTTGACTATCAAGTGAGCGGTCGAAAGCTGAGCATCCGGCAGATCAGGAGCCACCCTTTTGTTGGTGGCGACTGGATCGGTGACAGCGCGCTTGGACAAGCTATGCGAGTGTTAGTTACATCCAGAAATGAAGGGTAAGTGATGGAATGAACTAACAGGACGTTGAACTTGGCATTTTGGAGTCTCCGTCGTTGCGAGGCATCCATTGGGTTGATGCTTTCTTCTTTTTCATCCGAGTCAGACGAGCTGGAAGCGTTCTCGACGTCCTCTGAGGAGATTTCAACTCCACTGATTTCGTTAGTGGTGCTTGAGGTGCGATTCTTACTGTTGGAGGCAGGGATGCCCAGAAATTCGGCGCTGAGGTTTTCGACGTTTGACCCGGTCATTTTCATGCTTTGCTCTCGACTCGGAGCAGGATGATTGTGGCGGCGAGAGGGAAGTTATTCGTGTCAGAGATGCAGAAAGAGGTAAAGTGAGTATTCAATGGAATGGTCAAGTCTTGCAGTGGGTTGAACCTCACATCAACAGCTGCTGCCAGTGTTACCGTGTCGTGCAGTGAATACAAACCATACAACAAACGTGCGGTCTGTTTGTAGTGGGTGAATGTCTCACACCCCGGCTGGAGACTTGTCTTCGAAAAGATACATGGGCGTTACACAACTTCGAAATGATCTTCGCCAAAGGTATCTGCTCGTTACAACTGACGTTACAAGTATCTAGCCTTCGCAAATAAGCCAATAACATAGACAGGACTAGACCGGAGCAATAAGTTTAGTGTTGAATATATATACTTCCCAGCAACCGGGATGGAGCGCAAGGATCCACCCCTAAACTGATAGATGCGGGGCTTGCCGCGGGGCGGGCCCAGGAATTATTTCTTCGAGGCCATCCTCCGTATTCAGCTTCAACTCCCTCCAGCAAATCTCCCAGCACCACCCTCCGCAAGACGCAAAATCACACCCAATGGAACAACCCCAGAACCTACGCACCCTGTTCACCGAGGCGAAAGCCGAAAAGTCCGCGCTGGAAGGGCGGTTCGACAGCAACACGGATGCTTATCGCAGTGATGTCAACGCAGTCATAGCCAAGCTTGAGGAATGCCAACGATTAGTGAGCTTGCTGTCGCTGTTTAGCTCCAACGAAGCTCTCGAGGATATCTCCACCGGAGATCTACAGTACTGGCCCCATCCCTTCGACACTTGAACTGAGATTGTCTTTTGTTCACACTCCTCTTTCTCTCACTGCAGATACCTGACCGTCGAATACCTGCTCGCCGACCTCCTCCAAAGAACCTACACATCGGACCGCGAAGCCTCCCTCCGCCGTGCACTGAGCCAATACGAAAAGTTCCTCTCCCGGCTGGACGAATACGACATCCTCAGCGCCAGCGACAAGAAGCTCTACGAGCGGTACGCGGCCAACCCGTCCACCTTCTCCCTCACCCCTACCAACGATGCGGCGGTCCGGCGCGAGGTGAAGATCACCCGATTCCGGGAGGAGAAGGAATTGAAGCAGAAACTCGAGGTTAGACAGCACCACCACCACCACCACTACTAAATTTTCTTGACATGAACGAGACCGCCCCGCTTACTCAATGTGACCCCCCAAAAACAGTACTTGTCCAAGAACAAAGACCGCTTGCAAAGCGATGAAGACGATGTGCGCGCATTGTACCTGGCGGAGCTGGCGCTCTACGCCCACCAGACGTTCCAGTCGCTCGACCTCCTGTCGCAGGAGTTGTCTATGTTGGCCACGATGCGCACGGCACCCCCCAACCCCACCGAGCTGTCGCAGGATGACCCCCGGAGACGCAATGGGGACGCCGAATCGGGCTACTCCGAGCGACTGGATCGCCCGATCGCCGAGCTCTTGAGAGGAGGAAGGCTCGGGCCGATATTGAGCAAGGAGGGACGGCCGATGCAGCCCTTTACACTGCTGGATCGCCGCACCCAGCTGCAGCAGGGCGTGTTCCGCTCCGGGCACAACCTGCCAACTATGACAATCGATGAATACCTCGAAGAGGAGCGAAGGCGGGGCAACGTTATCGAAGGGGGAGGCGAGGCGTCCGGGATCAAACCAGAGGTCGACGAAGACGACCACGATATCGCCGATGGAGAGACTATGAAGGCCCGGGCCTGGGATGAGTTCAAGGAAGCAAACCCCCGAGGCTCGGGAAACACTCTGAATAGAGGATGATTGTCATGAATGCTACATAGATACTGATGATTTGGTTTCTTGGTCTGGGTCTTGCCATGAGACGAGCACATATAATGAATGCATATATTTTCTCGCTAGATCTGCCATCGACGCAGATACATGCCTTATGAATCGCGTTGTTATATCATAATCTATCTAAACCTGCCACGTGCCGTTTCCTTGTATGGGTATCCGTCTTTTTCATATCCTTCATGCCTTCCGTGAAGGAGAGGACCAGCATCTCCACCACAACATCGTTGTCCACCACAACATCGTTGTACTGTACAAGACCTCATTGAGAGGCCTGCTTGTTCCGCTGGATCTCTTCGAGGATCTTTCCAGCGCCCTTGGCCACCAGAGCATTGGCGACCGTGACCCCGAACTCCTCAGCAGCCTGAGGGGTATCCACAGAGCCATCCACTTCCACCTCGGAGCTCTCACTGCCATCCACGCTGACGACAACCGACCGCATCCTCAACTTGGACGAGCCATCGGCATCACGAACCCACTCCGACTCGACACCCAGGGGGGCACTGCAGCCACCCTCCAGGGTGCGCAGCAGGCTGCGCTCCGCCAAACAGGCCAGAGTCGTCTCCTGGTGACCGATGCCCGACAACATGTCGAGCACAAGCCGATCATCCTTGCGGACCTCGATCCCCAGCGCCCCCTGCCCAACGGCGTAGAGCATGCCGGCGTTCTGGGAGTCCAGATAGGCGGTGATGCGATCCTGCAGTTCCAGACGGAGCAGTCCGGCGGCCGCCAGGATCAGACAGGCGTACGGGCTATCCTCGGCGTCCAGCTTCGACAGACGAGTGCCGATGTTTCCGCGAACATCCGTGACCTTGAGATGGGGGTACCGCCGCGCCAACTGGGCCGTCCGGCGGATGGAGGAGGTGCCCACCACCGAACCCGCAGGCAGGTCGGCCAGGCTCTTGTACGGCAATCCCTGCTTGACGACCAAGACGTCGCGCGTATCTTCCCGACCCATCATCGGGCCCAGCGTGCATGAGGGCGGCAGCAAAGTGGGGACATCTACGTTGCAACAACAACAAGTATGTCAGCCCAGAAATTCCCGGAGCCTTTTCTTGTTCTTCCGTTGGGTGCCACGCCACAACACTTACCCTTGAGCGAATGCACAATGAGGTCCACATGACCGGCCATCAACAGCTCCTCCAACTCCTGAGTCCACAGATTCTTGGTGGTGAAGTCCCGCAGCGCGATGGTGGTGTTCTGGTCGCCGGCGGTTTCACGCGAGTGGATCTTGAATTCATATTCGGGCCATTTGGCCTTGAGGGCGGCCTGGACCAAATCGGTTTGGAGCAGAGCGAGCTTGGACTTGCGCGTTCCAATGGTGAAGACCTTGCGGGAGGAGGGATCAGCGGCGTTTGCGCTGGCGAGCGGGGTAGAGGCCATTCCGACGGTGTTTGGGGGGGGGAAATAAGAGCAGGGAAGAGGAGATTAGAAGCGGGTGGGTGAAAGAGGAGAATAGAACGGGAATGCGCTCCGAAAGGACAAACAAATAGATGGGGTCAATTAAAATTGAGGGGGGGGGGGGTGTCAGAGTAGTGGCAATAGAAAGCGTGCTGTCAAGTAACTTAATGGTTAAAGTTGGATCTCCGGCTCGAGCACATTTTCCTCCGGGTATTTTTTGCGGGTTCTGTTTTGTCATACGACCCGGCTGGACTGTCCGGTCCGGGGCAAAGATAATGGGATATTGTAATCTTACAGCGGTAATCTTACAACTGGGGCCCTTTTTGCCTCTTCGCGATAGAGAGCATCACGATAAGCGATCCTACTGTTCAATACACGTCATGGTGAGTGTGGACTAACTGGACTAACTTAGTATCCTCAGTAGTACTCCGTACTCATAATTGCGACCATCTTGATCGACAATGTACTCTTATCAGATCGAACCCAAAGGGGATAGAAGCTGGTGGAAGAGCAAGGAGCAAGTGAGACAAGAGGAGAATCCCCCAGGTTTTGGGGGGTTATTTAACTCAGGGTTGGTCGTCTGACGGCTGCGAACCTCGGCATGATCGGGAGGGAGTGCGCTTATCTTTCGATCTTCTCCTCCTCTCCGCCTCACCCCCAACCCCAGACGGGAGTGTCACGCTTGCCTGCCTTCTTCCATCCATCCATCCATCCATCCATCCATCCATCTACCCTTGAGCTTCTAATCACTTTCTCTCCTCACGTTTCTCAACCCTTCCCCTTAAACTACCCATCAATCTATTCTATCCCACGTTTTCCCACCTCCTTATCCTCTCTCTCTCTCTTTCTCTTAAGATTGGCTCAGCTGAAACGACCACACCCTACCTCTCTTATTGTCATTCCTCTCTCAGCTTCAATCATTGTACCCTTTGCGACCCACGTTTGAATTGATCTGGCATCCGTCATCCCGCGATGGGTTCCCACAGCGGCAGAACCACCAAGCTTGCCTTGGTACCGCTCCCCAAAGGCTCTGTCTTACTTCCCGGAGTGACTCTCCGGATTCCGGTCTCCAACCGACCCGATATCGCGAACCTCCTGACTACCGTGCTGGACCGCTCCCCCGCAGCGAAACGGGATGGGAGTATCGTCACCTTCGGATGCATCCCTCTCAGCTCCCCGTATCTCAGCAAAGATGGCCAGCGGGTCATCGATGATGGGACCCTGGAGGAGGACAAGCGGGAGGAGTACGAGATGATAGATGCGGGACAAGCGCGCAAGGAGGACCTCTTCCGGTATGGCACCGTGGGCAAGGTGATCGGCATCCAACGCCGTGCCTATGCAGAACCATCCCTCCTTGTCCAGGGAATTCAGCGTTTCACCCTCAAACGAGTCCTCAAGGAACGGCCGTTTTTTGAGGCCGAAACCATCATCCATGACGATAAAGGTTTGTGTCCATTGCATTATTCTTCTCTGTTAATGCTATATGACGTCTTTGACTAATCATCCGCATCTGAAATCGCAGTCATCAACGACACTGAGACGGTCGACCTGTTCCAACAGCTAAGACAGCTTTCGAAGGAGCTATTGACTCTTCTGCGACTGTCCTCACTTCTGCCCTCGGCGGGAACCCGCCTATCGCCCATCATCGCTCGTAAATTCGAGATCTTCATCACCAAGTCTGATATCTCCCACGCAGGTAGACTGGCCGACTTCATGGCCGATGTTGCCGACTCGGGTTTTGAGGAGAAGCTCCGCATTCTGGCCTCGTTCGATGTCCGAGCCAGGCTAGAAGGCGCCATCGAGATTCTGAGTCGGCAGGTACAGAATATCAAGAGCAACGTCAAAGTCACGACCATCACTACCAATACATTCCCCGGGTCTTCATTTGATATCAGCCAGATCGATCCGCGCGAGCGGGAGCTGCTGGCCAAACGAGCAATGGCAGGCCTGGCGGGATTGACGCCGCCGGGGATGACAAGCGGCCGGAACAACGACGGCGATGAAAAAGAAGCGAACGAGGTTGACGAGCTCCAAAAAAGGCTCAATGACGCTGAGCTTAGCCCTGAAGCTAGGAAAGTCGCGGATAAGGAGTTGCGTCGTCTCCGGAAGATGAACCCTGCGAATGCAGAGTACGGTGTGTGCAGAAGCTACCTCGAGAATATTGCCGACATTCCCTGGACCAAGGTCACCGAAGATCAGCTTGGTCCTGAGACTCTGAAGAGAGCTCGCCAGCAATTAGACGACGACCATTACGGCCTGGAGAAGATCAAGAAGCGGCTTCTCGAGTACTTGGCGGTGCTGCGTCTAAAGCGAACCTCTAACAAAGATGTGCAACGCCAGATCGAGAGCCTCACCCAGGAACTGGATGCTTCCGATGCGGGCGACATCGAAAAGGATGTTCCGACGCTATCGGAAGCAGACAGGGTTGCTCTTGAGACCAAGCTACACCTGTTGGAGTCCAAGCGCATCGGCGACAAATCACCGATCCTTCTGCTTGTCGGCCCTCCGGGTGTCGGAAAGACAAGTCTGGCACGGTCCGTGGCTGCCTCCTTGGGTCGCAAGTTCCATCGGATATCCCTAGGTGGTGTCCGGGACGAAGCAGAGATCCGTGGTCATCGGAGGACCTACGTTGCCGCAATGCCTGGTTTGATCGTCAATGGTCTGAAGAAGGTCGGTGTGGCTAACCCGGTCTTCCTGCTGGATGAGATCGATAAGGTGGGCGGAGCGAACTTCCAGGGCGATCCCTCGGCAGCTATGCTTGAAGTCTTGGACCCCGAACAGAACCACACCTTCACCGATCACTACATCGGCATCCCAATTGACCTGAGCAAGATTCTTTTCATTGCCACGGCCAACTCGCTAGAGACCATTCCCGCCCCGCTCCTCGACCGTATGGAGACAATACAGTTGTCTGGCTACACGAACATCGAGAAGCGACACATTTCCAAGAGACATCTTATTCCCAAGCAGGTCCGGGCCAACGGACTCTCTGAAGGCCAAGTCATCTTATCGGACGAGATTCTCGACAAAGTCATCACGTCGTATACCATGGAATCTGGAGTACGGAACCTGGAGCGTGAAATCGGTTCGATCTGCCGGTCCAAGGCCGTGCAGTACGCCGACGCAGGTGACGCCGGCCGACTGGAAGCGTACAATCCCGTGGTGAGCCTCGAGGATCTGGAGGATATTCTCGGCATCGAGCGCTTCTACGAGGAACTGGCGGAGAAGCATGGCCGGCCCGGCGTGGTCACGGGCCTCGTGGCCTTCTCCACCGGAGGTCAAGGCAGTATCCTGTTCATCGAAGTGGCTGATATGCCGGGCAACGGCAATATCCAGCTGACTGGTAACTTGGGTGGCGTCCTCCGCGAGAGTGTTGAAGTTGCTTTGACCTGGGTCAAAGCCCATGCCTACGAGCTGGGACTGTCCGCGGACCCCAACGAGGACATCATGAAGAACCGCAGCTTGCACGTGCACTGCCCGTCCGGAGCAGTTCCGAAGGACGGTCCTTCCGCCGGTCTCGCCCACACGATCGGCCTGATCTCACTGTTCAGCGGCAAGCCTGTGCCTCCTAGCCTCGCCATGACCGGTGAGATTTCGCTGCGCGGGAAGGTGATGCCGGTGGGCGGAATCAAGGAGAAGCTGATCGGAGCGCTGCGTGCAGGCGTGAAGACCGTCCTTCTGCCGCAACACAACCGGAAGGATGTGAAGGATGTACCGCAGGAGGTCAACGAGGGGTTAGAGATCATCTACGTCAAGTAAGTTTCTCTTTTCGAGTGATTTGGTACCTTCACTAATGCTTGGCTATCAGACACATCTGGGAAGCCATTCGACAGGTGTGGCCCGACGCTCACTGGCCGGGGCAACACCAGGCCAATTTCATCGAGAGCCGGCTGTAGACCGGTTTGATACTCTCTCAGAATGGGATAACTGTAGATAATGCTCTTGTTTTATGATTTAAGCAGCCAGCGGGGTTTTGTTCGATGCAGCGTTTTGCTATTCCGCCCACTTTTGTCTTATTATCACCCAATACTCAAATTTTAACGGCATATTATCCAATACACTTATTATCAATCCACCCACATCCCAACTCCGCAAACCAAACGAACCAAAAGAGAAAAAGAAAATGTATTTATAAACCCAAAGCGATATAATACAGCGCGACCATGAAAGAAAAAACCCCCAGAAGAAAATACATAACCCCAAAGGAACAAGCCAGCCCTGTTCCCCAAGTCTAGGATTTTTCGCCGCCTTTCATCCTCTCCTTGGGTACCATCCATTCAGTGTACCCAACCCATTCATATCCACCCCAAACAACCCTCAAACCTCACCTCAACACTCACGACCTCGACCCATCCTTAGGACTAGTAGCCGCCTTCCCACGCACCGCGCGGTCGTAATTCAACCCCAGGGCCTGCCAAGTCGGGCGCCAGGGCTTCTCGCCGCTGAGGATTTTCTCGGCCTCGGCGGCGTACGACTCGCGCTCCTTGGTGGGGGCCAACATGCCAGCCTCGGGCTTCTGGGCGTCCTGCATTTCCTGCTGCCACTTGGCGGCCTTGTAGTACTGGTCCTTCTCCCACCTGTTTTGTGTTGTGCCGGAGAATTAGCATTGCGTTCGCACCACTCACACGGGCTGCGGATTGCATACGCAAACCACTCCAACCAGAACTAAAAGGGGGGCAAAGACAACGTACTTATCCATCTCCTTAGGCGCCTCGGGCCACACAAACGGCTCCTTCATCTCAACGGTCATCCGCTTCTTGCTCTGCGGACGGCGCAGCGGACCGTACCCGAACCGGCCCCGCGACTTCATGCGGGTGACCTTCTGCTGCTCGACGAAGCTGCGCACGGCCAGCACGCCGACCCCGTACGCGCGCTGCAGGTAGTCGCGCATGTCGAGCTTGTTGAGGTTGAGCGGCACGTAGAAGGAGGCGTAGCGAGGCGGGAGGAAGGGGGTGCGGATGAGGGCGATCGTGAAGTCGGGACTTGGCCGGCATCGAGCACACGTTAGCGTTGGCTCGTTTTCTCGGTTGGATGGGGAGTATGCGGTATGGGGCTTGCGTCCAAGGGTGGGATTGAGGGTTTGGCTTACAGAAAGACCTGTTTGCGCGCCTCCAGAGGAGCGCCGGGACCGACCCAGCCTTCCGGCCGGGTGGGCACTTTTTTGGCGAGTTGCGTGAGTTTGCGGACCATTTTTGGTGGTGTCTGGTCCTTGTCGGGGGTGGGAGAGGGGAGAAGAGGAGGAGTGCTGCGAAATGTGGTGGTGGATTTGGAGGTGCGGAATAGTTTGGTTATCTTCCGGAGCGGAACTTTCTTGCAATTCGTTGTTTGCGTCGTTTGGCCGCTTCGGCGCCCGTAGTATAAATTGATAGTACTAGGTACTTGGGAGTTTACTCCACTCCGGGAATAATGCGGAGGGATAGATGGCTGGCTCAATGCTTATGCGGTAATTGTCAGTTACCTGTTCTTTGCACTTATGTGCAAATCAATTGGATGCCTTGGACGGGGTCGAGAGATGTTTGAAGTGGAAGTTCATAGTCGGACAATTTCTGACTTCAGCCAGTGGCACTCAGTAATACTTCTAGATCTCAAGATCTACGTTATTGGATAATCGCAAACAACAAGAAGGTAACACCTACGACAGAACTAGCTACGTGAGTTGCAGAGAGAATTTTACAAGTCCCAGAAAAGTTCTATTCATTATGGTCATGATCGTATCATATCTTTTTATCCATCGCAGCAGATCCCTACTGTCCCCCCTCCGACACCTTCAAATTGCCTAGCCGTCGAGAACTCTCGTCGAGCTCATCCGACTGCGACTCCTCCCTATCATCCTCCTCTCCCTGTTCCTCCTCATCCTCCTCCTCCTCGTCATCATCCCCATCCTCCCGATCACTCCCCCCATCCCCCGTCGCCCCAACCTCCTGCATATAACTCTCCAACTCACGGGCCATCTTCCTCGAGAAGCCGGACGCCTCAACCTCGACATCCAACCGCTTCCCCGGATTGGCCATCATCTGCTTCTTGGCGTCGGCAAAGAAGGGACCGGGCACATCACTGACGAAGTGGAACTTGCGGGAGAAGTACCGTTTGATGCAGTTGACATCGCGATCGAAGTACATCTCGGCATTGGGGTGATCGATGGAGACCATCTGCGGGAAATCGATCACCACGGGCACCAGCGTCACTTTCTCCTCGCCGTCCTCAGCCTCACGCCCCTTCCCTTTGCCATCATCCTCGACCACCTCCTTGATCAAGATATTGAACTCATTGAAATCACCATGAATCAACCCATACCGCGCAAACCGGACAATCATCTCCATCAGCTCGGCGTACAGGCCGGCCGGGTCCGCGACCGACGAGATCTGGCGCAGCGGGAACGCATCGATCAGGCTCATGACGATCGTGTGCCGGTTCTGGGCGATGGGCTCGGGGACGCTGAAGCCGTTGGCGCGCAGCGCCTTCATGAAGGCGAACTCCTTCATCGCCGCCAGCCGCGACATGTACATCCACGAGGCCGAGGTGCGGTGCCGCAGGTAGTCGCGGTTGGTCTTGACGGTGCGGAAGGAGATGCGGCCCAGCCGGTGGATCTTCAGGATGCACTGCTGCTTCTGGTGGTTGGCCACCACGTTGATGTCCGACTCCTTGCCCACCCCGATCTGGTTGCCCACTGAGTAGATCACCTTCTGCTTCTGGTGCGCGTGCAGCGCCAGGTAGTCCAACCCGCCGTAGGTGAGCCGGTAGCCGTCGTCTGTCCAAAGAAAATATGTATGGTAAGTAAAAAGAAAACGTAGACAAGGTTCGAATATCCCCCGATTTACAAGGCAAGCAGGCAGACGTACATTTAGCATTCTTCACCTTCGCAATCAAATTCGTCTTCGCAAGGTTCGAGATCGATCGATGCACCCCGCTGCCCCCGCGCAGGCCCGAGATCTGCGCAATCAACGGCGTCGGCACGATTTCATGGTTCCGACTGCCTTGTTCAACCTTTTCTCCTCAAGAAAGACAAATTTGTCTGTTAGCTTTGGTCAATACATCATGCGCTTGCTCCGAGAAATAAAATGGACGACCGAAAAAAAGTCAAGGCGGGGAAATGCTTGGAGGGGCGTAGCGTACCGCCGAGAGAACGCGAAAGTCCTCCGCCGTCAGGTAACGGATCGCTTTGGGGTCGAGCTTCATGGCCGAGAAATCCTCAAAATTCGGAGTTGGTGAAAAGGTACAAAATAACTAACAGCAAGTCGGATTTTCAAGAGTGGAGTCGGACGCCTATCTCGAAGCCTTCGACGTGATTGCGGCGGCGTCCCTGAAGGTACCCGGGGAAAACTTATGGGCTCCACTGCCCTATGCCCTAGTTTCCTGTTCGGGATCTTTCTGTATACAACTCGGACAATGTTGATGAACCGCTGTGACGATGACAAGAATCTACACTACATAAACACGGAAGCATTACGTCAATCAACCTGGGCCCTCGAAACTAATTCTATCTTAAGAGTAAACTTCTTAACTTAGAACACTCCCCTTCCTATATCCATTGATCTAATTGATATAAGGCATTTCCGGTTCGTTCTGAATACATTAAGTCCAAGAATCCCAAAGCTGTGATTGCCCGGCGCTCATTCAAGCTCGCAAAGTTTCATGTTCAGTTCTCGTCTCATTTATGCGGAAGTCTCCGCCTCCCAGTTGGGGTTCTGCATTCCAGTTAGCAGGCAAACTTCATTCAGCGAAAACATGGTGGATCGCAATATTTACCTTGCGCAAGATTACCAAACCCTCCAGAGTGCTGCTGAGAGGGATGTATTGCTCGTCTTCGAGTTCGGCCCGCTCACCATAGGCCAAGAGAACTGGCGTGCTCTGCGTCTGCCAGCCAGTGATCGTCTTCGGGCGACCAGCCTGGCCGACGACATCCACGGCCTGACCGACCCGGACATTCACAGTCAGAGGCTGCAAGTCTTCATCGAGTGTGACGAGGAAGCGAGGGTACATGGCAGTGATGAGGAAGTAGAGGAGGTAGTGGTGTTCGGCGAGGATGAATTGCTTGGCGTCAATCAAGGACACCAGGACGGTGAGCAGACCGGCAGCTGATACACGCGACAAGACCTGTCGGTCGGTGTGGAAGGGGTTCAGAGTCATGGTGCCCTTGCCCATATGCAGAAGACCCTGCGCGATGCGAACCATGAACAAAGAGTTCTGGTCACGGTGGTAATAGCTAGCCAGCTGACGGAGCAACTGGGCCAAACGAGCGTTGTTGGTACCGGCACCACAAAGACCCATGGCGAAGATCGCGTTGATAGCAACGTCGTTGTCGGTGTCGTGGCTGTATCTCGAAAGAGTATCGTAGACCTTCATTTGGGGGTTGCTAGGGGTGATCAGACCCATAGCGAGGGGAACAGCCTTCCGGATGTTGCTGGCACCGTAGTGCATGAGATGACCGAACTGTCGGAGGATCATATCCTGGCCAACCTCCTCGCCCATGGCGATGAGCGACAAGCCAAGTACAGCATACGACTGGACGAGCTCGTCGCCCTTCTTCTCGTCGTTCTCCTCAATGATGTCATTGCAGATGTGAAGAAGTTCCTGAAGCTTCAGGACGGTGCCAGTGCCTGCCCATGCGCAGACCGAGGCAAGTACAGAGGTGGGCTTAGCCATGGGGTGATCCACGGCCTTGAGGATGTCAAGAACAACATCGACCTCTTCTTGACGACCGAAGTACAGAAGGGCGAGACCGAGCGCCATGAAACGGGTCCACTTGTCCTTCAGGTGCTTTTGTCTCTCCTCGTCCATCAAGGTCGAGGCAATCGCCTCACTGACTTGATGGTTGGAAGAGCCAACGAAGATGAGACCCAGAGAGACAGCAGCCATGGCAGAGAGCTGCATATCCAGCGCACTGTCTTCGACGATCGGAAGGAGAACCTCCAACAGCTCCTCCTTGTTGGAGCCAGCATAGGCTAGACCAAGACCCATGATCGATGCGACCCGCATGGGCACGCTCTTCGCCTCCAAATTCTCGGGGTCGCTCAGGAGAGCCAGGGCAGGGTCAGAGTCGATCCGTACACCAGAGTTCAGGATACCGATGGACAACAAAGCACCCGCCTTGATCTGATCTTCCGAGGCGTACGTGTACTTGTCAATCTTATCCAGGCCGATCTCGACATCTCTGTGCATGAGCATTCCCAGAGAAGCCGTGGTCGACAGCATGCCGTCATCCTTCGTCTTCCACACCCAAGGACCCTTGTCACCTTCGACCAGCATCATCTTATCGTTTCCGAATCCAGCATTAGCAAACGAGTTCACGAAAGCGCTGGCGAGATTGTGTCTAGCAGAATCGACGTTGGTGAGGCCGGCGCCACGTGAGCTTTCCAAGTGAGTCTTGTAGATATCTTCGGGCATCTTGGGATCCAGAATGTTGAGCTCCTTGCCAAGAGACTTGAAGTGCTTGGGGATCGAGGTGTTGTTGAGGCAGTCCATGAATAGCTGATCTTCTTCATATTCCGGAAGATCGAGCCATATTTGCTGTCGGGAAACAAGGAACGCCATCTGCTTCTTGATAGAATCGTCCGAGGTGGCGTTCAAGTCGCTCTTGATCAGCTCGGTGTCGTTTAGGCGAATAGCGAGGACAATGGCCTTGGTGAGCTCCTTGTAGGTGACATAGATCTCGTGCGCGGTGCGGAGGAATTGCTGGTCTTCTGGGTATGTTAGGAGGTTAACCATGCTAACCATATACAGGCAGACTCGGGCGTAGGTGTTCTCGTCCACAAAGCGAGGGATTTCCTCGATGATCTCGAGCTCACTCAGCAAGTCGACGGCATCGGCTTCAGCGTTGTGCTTCAGGAAGTACGGAACAAGAGAAAGAGCAAGGTCGATCAAATCTTGTACATCCTTCTCAGCATTTAGCCTGTTTTGATATTCCTGGCCGATCTCCAAGGCCAGGTGTCTGATGTATTCATGGCCCCATGAGCCGAGATCCTCCGACTTGGTCAGCAGGCGGTACTTCAGGGTCTCCAGCTTCTCCTCGTCTCCGTATGTCATTCCAAGAACTGATAGCATGTCGGCCAAGGAGTCCTAGTTGAGATAAGGTCAGATTGTCGCTCCGATCCGCGCCGTCATACAACAGAAGACGCACCTTAACCGGGCTAGCCGGCCACTTGTCATAAAGCGCCGTGAGGTCATCGTAGTGAGGTCGGAGGAATTTCAAGGGCTTAGGGACAGCGGTCATCGAAGATGTCGAGGTCTTTATGAAATTCTTGATCGCATCCAAGGCAGGGCTGTAGAGGGATGTATCCGGCTCCTAGGCAGGAAGGCGGAGCGTTAACGTCATCGATCGGGGCCTGTAGCAACAGCTGCTGTGTCCATACCTTTAATCTTTCCACAAGCATCTCCAGCTCGTTCTTCAATTGCTGATCTTCTTCATTGAGCTCCTCTATATCATTTGATTAGCACTGCCACAGCAGGCTGGCATAGCTGGTGCCAGAAGCGGCGTCGGGTCGGGATGTTCCCGCCCATGCCACGGGCTCAATGTATCGCCTACCTTCCTGGGGCTCATCATCCTTCTTCTTTCCGTCGGCTTGAGGCTTCTCGCCGGTCTGTGCCTTCTTTCCTCCAGCCAAATCTTTCACATCGTCAACCTTGCCCTTGCCCTTGTCGGCGGGAGCTGACCGCTCGCCATCTTGCGCCATTGCTGACGATTATATGGCGAGTAGGACTGTGTGGTATCGGGGATGGGGGGGAGACTAGAGCGTTGAAAGATGCTCTGACGGGGGTATCCAAGGTGTTAAAGGTCGAACAGAATAAACCTTCACGGAGCAGGCGATGACGAGGGGGGTGGAATCATAAGCTTGTTGATGGGGAAGCAGAGGAAGCTCTCTCAGTTCCTCGCCGCTCGGGCGGGCGTTGCGCTCCTGTGGAGCTAGGCTGCTTATGTAAGGCCGCACCGCCAAGCCTTCGACTCCAATAGAAGAATGAAACAATCCATGTATGTCAGCATCATCAACTAACCAAGGTACTTTAATATTACTCTACTCCTGCCTCGAGATACTGTAGGGTGAATAACTCTACAATTATATCATATGCTTTGATGTTTTTGGCACAGCTGGAACCATTCGCATAGCTATGCTGCACTAATACCATCCACAAATTTAATATTCCAATGATCTATATCACTAATGTGAACTAAGGCATATTGATTGCAGCTGGAAGGTAAGCTCATACCAACTTCTTGAAGAAGTATCTTTGCGGCATTTCCACCGAATGACGGCGTCTCAGTTCACCGTCTAGGAGTTTACAATCGCCTCGTTTGTACACACCAACTCTTCCTGTCCAGTTATGGACCGGAAAGTGTATCCGAGCTCCCGGAGCACATATACAGCAGAAACAACACTGATTAGATCACTTCCAGTCATCCCTGGACACGAACGCCTCTCAAATCGGAACTTGAGATGAGTCCTGCGCTTTGAGAGATTGCCCACATTTTCCGTTTCCCCTCCCCAAGTCAATCTCTTGTTGGTTGTCAAAAGTACAGTTCCACGGAATGCAGATTCCAAACGCACAAGCAGCGCTTGTCGTCCAAGGCGTAGTCACCATCTCGTCATGCGAACTTAAGCCTACACTCGACCTTTGGCACATGTTACACTGCAGGAAGCTGCGGGGATCCTGCTCTTCAGAGGTGTACCCCATGGAGGGGGTGCAAAGCTGATATATATAAGCCCATGTGCCTCATCTTTTTCTGTTCACAGCCCGGTCCATAATCATCATTGCTGGACTTTTGCAACCATGGGTCGCACTAGGAAAAACAACGACAAGGAGGAGGAGGCCAAAAAGCGTCATATCCAGAGCCTCTGCGATGCTTGCTGCATCCGCAGCTTGGAACCTTGGATTCGAGCTTCTCTCTGCTGCGCCGATAATTCTTTTCTCGAAGCGTTGGTGCCAACGGCGCAAATGCCCCATGAAATCGGGCCGTCATCTAATGCCCGGATCTACACAGAAGAGATAATCAAGTCCTGTGAGCTGGATCGTTGTATCGGCGTTGTAATATCCCACTCAGTGCGTCTAATTCATGTGTCATCCTAGTGGCCCAACAATCCAGGGAGGAACCTACTTTCCAGACCAGGAGTTCCAGGGGAATCAATGCACACAAAAGCTGCAGACCACAAACAAATTCAATGATCCCCAGCAGCCCCAGACTTCCGAGAGCACTGATACCACAGCTCCTGGGGCCCAACGATCCAGCGAGGTCTCGGGTTGCCAGGCCAGGCAGTTGCAGGGGGATCAATACACAAAGAAACTGCAGACTACAGAGCAATCCGATAATTCACAGCAGCCGCAGACCTCTGAAAACATCAATACCACAGCTCCTGGGGACCAGCATTCCAGGAAGAAGTCTACTGTCCAGTCGCAGGAATCCCAAGGGAATCGATGCACACAGAAGCCGCAGACCACGAAGCAACCCAGTGATCTCCAGCAGCCCCCGACTTCCAAGAGCACTGTTACTACAGCCCCAGTGAGCCCTCTTCTTGTCTTTCACGGTCCCATAGCCTGCTAAAGTGTTACTAGTCTCAATCATCCCGACAACCCCAGACGTTCGAAAGTACGGAAGTAACAGTCCCTGTGAGCCTTCTTGTGCTTAAATGCCCGGCCTACAATTGCGCTAAACAGTAGTCTAGTCCACGGACAGTGAATGCAAGCGGCGTTATAAACACCTGAAGGAATACCCATACATCCAGCATGTCGGCTTCAGCCAACAAGGCTGCAAGCTCTGGGTCACGCGGAAGATCTTCTGGAGCCCCCAGCGCTTTATCTCGTTGGAGGCCGATTTCCTGGGCCAGCCCATCCCTGGCCCATACGAGGAGGCGCTGTGGGCGGCATGTCTTCATCACCCTCACTGCGACGTGTATGAAGAGTTCCGCATCGAGCCCCTCGACGTATCCCGCGACGGGACGAGGCTCAGAGCGAAGTTTGCCCGGCCTGGCTGTCCGCCTGAGAGCAAACCAATCCCTGCCCATCTGCGGGGACTGCCCAGCACCTACTGTCAGAGCTGGACCGGTGGATTAAACGCGTTGGACGCCGAGGGCATCTCAGACTTTGTCCTGGCTGACGCGGACCAAGCTAATCTCCCCATAATCCCTTTGTTGGTACTGCAGCTGGCGGTCGAGCGGGCCGCAAACCCTCCTCCCCTTGCTGCTGACTCCAAGCCCAAGAAAAAGGTTACTGTCTCGGAGAAGGAGATACCGCAGGATCCCAAGCATCAAGTCCACCGACACAAGAAGTTCCCTGTACTTCGTAACCTAAGTTCTTTGGGGGTCTGTCTGCTGCCTATGTTCTGGTGGCAGCGCTACAAGAAGAGTCGACAGCTCTGAGCCTCTCGACAGAGCAACCAACCCCGCATCTCGCCCAAGAATTTGCAATCTCTTTGCTCCGGTGTGTTTTGGCTTGATCATTCATACTAAAAGTCGGGTTTCAGTTTTTCGGTTTCGTTTAGCTTCTACTTTTCCGGGCAGTTTGCGTGACTATCGAATATGATTAGCTTGATTTAAGCTCAGAGAAAGTGCTCTCCTCACCAGTGTAGGTCATACATAGGCACACTACGTTGCTTTCCGATATCGTGACTGGTGTGGAGTGTAGGGCACCATCGGTGACGAATGAGTGCTTCAACTTGTAGTGAACAAATCTTTAACTTGAGCGAGGAGAGGTCCATAACATTATTTAGATATATCGTACCGAAGAGGCATACAATGAGTCGAGCGATAAAGCAAGAGATGAAGAGAACTAACCAAAAGGCGAACTAAGTTACAGAAACCTCGTAGTATAGCCCGAGGATGCATACACACCAAACATCTCCATCAGAAGCCTCATTTCACCGGAACAGGGAAGCTTACTCTGCGCGGCGCGCAGTTCAAAAGAGACAACAGCCACAGCCACAACCACAGGTGAATTATAAGTCAAATATATAATAAGTCCTCGGAAGTCTGGACAAAGGGAACCCTAATTAAGTACCTGAAAAGAAGAAGCAAGAAAAAGACGGCGTGAAGAGATAGTGACTTGCACATGTAGACGGGCTTGATGTTGGGACACAGACACACAGAGGTTGAAATGCAGACGCTCAAGGAAAGAACAAAATGCGACTGGCTCATTAAATGACTGACTTGATTTAGCGAAGCAAAAGGCAAAGAGAGCAAGAATCGAAATGAATGGTATCTAAGACAAATTCAGTAATCCATGACTGAGTATCCCAATCGGTCGTTCGCGTCGAGGACACTGTGTGGTTTGCATGCTTAGTATGGACCCCATTTATGGTTGAAGACAAAACAGGGAAACTTACGAGTATTGCTTGGTCAACGTTCCCTCACCACCTTTCGAGAGATCGATACTGAAAACGTAAAAGTTTCCGTCACTGGTCACCACCATCACCTGGGGCGTGTTGGTGCTCATTGCAACGACACTGCGAAGCGGACCATTGCTGCCGTTGGCGCCGGGGCCTTGATTGGTTTTGGGCAGTTTGATCCACGCAAAGTCACGAGCGGGCTCCCACATCTCACTGACACCCTTGGGAAGATACCCGCCCACCTTCGCGGCAAACGAGCTGCCGACATTTTGTGAGGTGCGCCGGATGATCCCCATTAAGGTTCCATTATGTTTCCTGGAGGCTAGCTCAGAAGAGCCCGACTCTCCGCCAACATCGTCCGGGTCCGAGGACTGGCCAAAGGAGCTTTGGCTATATCTCCGGTCCGCAACAGTGGGCGAAGACGATGACGGAGTGGTGTGTGATGACTGAGACTGCTGGCTCAATTTGAACAGGTGAATGGTCTCGGTGGAGGAAGATACGCAGAGAAGTGTTGAGGTGGTATTGAACGACATGCTGTAGATCCTAGACGGTATCGATCCGCGCCGGAACTGATATAGCTTGTGACCATCAGGGACGGAAAACACTCGGATGATGGTTCCTTTGTCGGAAGCGGTGGCGATCAGTGTACCGTCGCTGTTAAGTGTTATACACGCCAGTGGAGATCGATGCGCTTCGATAACGTTGATAGCTTCCAGCTTCAGAGTATCAAAGATCAGAACTTCACCACTCGTAGGTGAAATATGTGTGGTGCCGGGAGGCGCATGAGAAGGAGTAAACGACGAGGGTGGCGCCTTCTGGGGAAGGGGATACGCGAGGTAGCAATTGTCGGAGGAGGGGGATAGAGCACAGATTGCTAAGTGAAGTTAGACCACATACAAGGAATGCGCGGCAACGAGCGTTGTCTTACCATTTGGATTTGGGGAAGTCTCAATGGTATACAATAGCTTCATCGTCTGAATATCGTAGAGGTAGATCTGATCCTCCAGAACTATCACAAGTCTTTTGCGATTCAGCTTGACCGCGAGCACGGTGGTAGGGAATGTCAACTCGCATATCGTCGACTGGCGCTATAGGTGGGATCAAGAAAGAAGAAAGTGTTAGCCAAATACGTCATGTGCGCAAGGTAGCAAACAAAGCAGCTATTTCGTCAAGGTACATGAACCCGCGAAGCCCAACAAATGTGCACAAGGGTGTCCTACGAACCTTGGTATTAGTTATTTGAAGGCGACGTGGTGACAAAATCAGCGCAACCAGGGATGTCGAGAAAAGCATCTCAATTATGGCAATGTTCCCTTCCTTCGTCTCATAGCTTTTCGCGAAAGGATCAGTGGTGAAGATACGAAATCCCTTGGAAGTCGCTGATAAGTGTCAAGAGATATTCCATGAGTTAAGCTGGAGGATGATCCCGAGGGCCCTTACCGACGGCCAGATAGCTATAGTCCTGGTTGAACGTCACGAAATTCATCGCCATCTTGTCTGTGCCGATCGCTGTGATCGACCGCGTCCCACTCTGCGCAAAGAATCTATGACCGTGTGGATTGACGAGCTATGTGGGCGACCGAGAAGCAAGCGATGCAAGATACTCTCGACTTGGACTGAGACAACTGCGGGGTCTAGACAAGCTTCAGTGTTGCTGGATGGAGGGGCTAAACAGATCCCGTCCTAGGACCGCTTCCGTCACAGTTGGTGATGTTCGCCTTGCATATCTCGTGGGTGCTGGTGGTTAAGACGCAAGATAGACTTCGACGATCGATAAGAGCCGATGCTGCACGAGCTCAAGAAGGAAAGCGATCGCAGTCGTTCCAGTTGACAATAATAGCGAGGGATGGGTGAGTAGCGGACTGGTTGGTTGGATGCGGAGGGATCGGAGAACAGCCGTTCGTTCGTATTTGCCGCGGTTTGCGTCAGGCGCGGCAAGCGAGCACCTGACGCTCGGGCCACACCTTGATCGCCCGCCGCCGCTCCGAATCAATTAGTTACAGTACGGAGAGACTAGTCTAAAATATTATTCCCATCCCGCTTTCTTCTCATCGATCAATTTTCTTTCGGTGTTTCCCCAAACCCCCCGCCCCCCACAGTCGCCTATGATGACGGCGCAGAAGGAGGCTAGCCCTGCGACGGCTCCTACTAAGAAGCCCGGCATGGCGCCAGCTCTTTCCAAGGCCGAGAGAGAGGCCGATCTAGTCATGGGAGTAAGTTCTATCCATTCCGTCGCGGGGTTGCTACTATGCGCCGGCGCCGATACTTGGCCACGATCTACATTGTCCACCCATGTATTTCCTCTAATCTATAAATTACGAGCCTGACTCTTTTAGACCAACAATAGCAGTATCGTGTCGAAACGCAGCGTCGAGATGCTCTACTACCCTAAACCGCATTACTTTCGGTATTTCGTGAAGAAGCCCCAGCGCCGGTCGCCATTGATCAACCGTGGCTATTGGCTCCGTATGCACGCAATGGCCGAAACAGTGCGCAAATTCATGGCGGAACCCTCTGGCAAGCCGAAATTCGTCCTGAACTTAGGATGTGGATTGTGAGTCGTAGTCGAAGGAAACTGCCCGGCATGCTGGAATCGGTATACTAAGTCGGGGTGTCGTAGTGATCCTCTACCGTTCATTCTCCTCAACACGGAAAAGTCCCTTTGTAGAGATACGCGGTTCGTGGATATTGATTACGAGAAGCTCATGCTCAATAAGAAAACGGCCATTAGGAGGACCGAGGAGATCACGCAGCTCCTCGAGAATGTAGAGTTCTTGCCGGACGATAGTGCCATCCAGATCCAGAGCGAGCATTATATTGCCATCGGCTGTGATCTGAAGAACTTGAAGAAGCTGGACGATGTCCTGCGCAAAGAGATCCTTCCGGCCGAGTGCTCGGTTCTTTTCCTCGCGGAGGTCTCTTTGACGTACATGGATGTCACGTCTGCCAATGAAGTTTTGAAATGGGCCGCGCAGCTGAACAATGGTCAGACAGCCCGACTGAGCCCCTTTGGAAAGACTGCATCTAGTTGCTGACGCCAAGTTTGAAAGATGCCCGATTCTGCATACTGGAGCAGTTCTTCCCCGACGGACCAGACCATCCTTTCGCGTCAACCATGATGAAACACTTCAAGAAGCTCGGCGCGCCTCTCTTCTCGATCCACGAATACCCTTCATTAAACGAACAAGAGCAGCGGTTCAAGAATGCCGGGTGGCAGCATGCACACGCAAGGAGTCTCTGGGATATCTGGTCAGATGACAATTTCGTGAGCAGGTCGCTGCGGCGTTCACTGGACGAGGTCGAACCGTTCGACGAGTGGGAGGAGTTCGCGCTCTTCTCATCCCACTATTTCCTCTTGATCGCCTCGACCCAGGATGGATTCTTGGTGCCGACCACCGAACAGATCGAACTATCTGCCTCTTCGGCCAACGTATCGAACGAGTTCGAACTAGTCCATACTGCCGGAGTCGGGCAAAGAAGATTTGGGGCGCTTATTGCAGACGAGAACAGCTCTATTGGGTACCACGCTGGACTAGGACGGCAGACGCGATTGGCAACGACGGATCTGTACTCCAAATCCAAGGATGCTGTGAAGCCTCATTGGCCGTTCCCTCCGCGTGACGTCTCTGCCCGAATGTGTCACACAATCACCCACCTCTCTGGTAGCGATTGTTTGCTTGTCGGAGGTCGTGCTTCACCAGCTGCAGGGTTTCAAGATTGCTGGGTAAGACAAGGCGATCAGTGGCGCCCGACCGACAGTCTCCCGACGGCAAGGTTCAGACATAGTGCGGCGCGAGTGGCGTTCGACTCGGATCATGTCCTCGTGTACGGTGGAAAGACTAGCGATGGCAGTACCCTTGATACCTGGTTGGTGTGGAGCAACAACGGGGACGGATGGCTACCGGTTGAGATCAGCGGCGGAAACCCCGGGGCTCGATTCGGCGCTTGCCTGGCAAACATCGACAACACCTCCGGCATCTTATTCGGCGGGATGAGTGATGATGGGGTCATTCTGGAAGACTTCTGGACCTGGACATTGCACCGCCGTGGCGAAAGGTCCTACTGTCTGGAGGTCAAGGATCAGACCAAAGACTTGCGAGGGCTCTCGCCCCTTGCCGGTAGCCTCAGCCGCTTCGGTGCGACCGCCAGCCAGACTTCGTGGGGACTAGTGATTGCTGGTGGCAGCATTCCTCGTCAGCTTGTGCCTGCGCATCAGGAGCAGTTACTGCTTAATCTGAAGGAGCTCGCCACCCAGCTTCGCAGCGGGTCTCCTTCGTCGTCGAGCCCCAGCATTCTATCTACTATAGGACTGGGAAGAGACTGCGGAGCACCTAGGCCTCTGCTGGTGGGTCATGCCTCTTATGCAGTAGACGAGGATCAGGTCCTCCTGCTAGGCGGCGGTGCTGTCTGCTTCTCCTTCGGAACATTCTGGACGGAGGGCACCTGGCTGTTGAAGCGCGCCGACTCGAGCGTTGACAACGAATGGAAAATGGTCCCTGAGACAGTACCGCCTCCCAAAGTAGAGGGACTGCCGACGACCTCATCAAATACCAGCATCGATACCACCACCACAACCAAGGATGTAACGCCTATTCCTCGCGTCCAGATCCAAACCGCTGCCCAATTCCAACAGATCCTCGCCGAGGGAAAGCCCGTCATTATAGAAGGGTCGGACATCGGACCGTGCACTCACCTCTGGACCAAGGAATATCTAGCGAACGCGGTGGGCAGAGACCGGAAGGTATGTACATTCAGGAAATCAATTAGTAAGGTTGGACTCAAGCTAAGAACCCCGGTAAAATTAGGTTGTCGTGCATGAGGCTCAGTCCGAGCACATGAGCTTCCAGACGAAGAATTTCGCCTACACGACCAAGGAGTTTGGCACGTTCCTGGACGAGGTGCATGCGGGGGGCCGCCAATACCTGCGCAGCATCTCGGCTGACCAGCCCACGAAACTGCCCGCCAACCTGGCCGTGGACTTTGCGGGACTGAAGGATGATTTCCGCCTGCCCGAAGCCTTTTCGGTCGTTTCGGAGAACGCGCATAGTTCCCCGCTGCGGATCTCGGGGCCCGTCACTTTGTGGCTTCATTACGATGTAAGTTGTGCTTGTCTTTGTATTAGCAGAAGAGGAAAACGAAGGCCCAATGTTCTCCAACCAACGCAGAGAAAAAGAAAACCAACAAACAAAAACAACTAATCACCAATGGAAACAGGTCATGGCGAACGTCCTCTGCCAAGTCCGAGGCGATAAGCGACTGATCCTCTACCCGCCCAGCGACGTCCAGTACCTCCAGGTGCCCGCCGGCGCCTCCAGCTCGACCCTCAACGTCTTCCAGACGGGAGACGACAGCACGATCGCCGCGATCCCACACACCTCCCCGCACGAAGCGCAACTCCGCGCGGGCGACATCCTCTTCCTGCCGCCGCTGTGGCTGCACACGGCCAGCCCCGCGAAGGACCAGGTCAGCGTGGCCGTGAACGTCTTCTTCCGCAACCTGAGCCACGGCTATGCGGCCGGGCGGGATGTCTACGGGAACCGGGATCTGCAGGCCTACGAGAAGGCGAGGGCCGACGTGCAGAAGATCGCGCGGTCGTTCGACGGCGTCCCGGCAGACATGGCGAGGTTTTATTTGTTGAGGTTGGCGAAGGAGTTGAGGGAGAAGGCAGAGGAGCTGTGAGTGCTTGTCTATGAATGTATAGTACAGTATATATCACCTTGATGATGATGGGACAAAATAGATTGTTTGTTTGTTTTGGTTACCGGTTTTGGTCAGGGGGGGTGAATTGCGGATTTCATGTCATGGTTTGTTGTCGTCGTTGATGTTGATCATATCAGCAGCAAATTCCACACTCCCAGAAAGCAAGAGGGATTGACTCGGGGAGTGTATGGGTAAAAGACACAGAAGAGGAGGGAGGAATGAGAAGGTGGTTCGGGCCACGACCCACTAGGCATGCCCTCTACATCCCGGGCCCTCCCTACCTTAGTTAGTATACGGCCAAGCCCCCCTCCTCCCCCCCAACAACAAGACCCACCCCTCCACCTGCAATGCAAGCACGCTTGCTGCGAACACGAAGTCGGAAGTGGGGGGCGGAATCCCTGTACGTGTGTGGGATTTACGCACGTGGTGTGAGAAGAAGAAGACTTCTTACATTAGTTCAGGTAGATATGTATATATAACTTTTCGGATATACGTATGTAGTGTACAGTACTTACAGGTGGCGCCAGCAAGCCCAATGCGGGACGGAGGCGTCCAGTAGAACTATGGAGTAAATAAAGCAGGCTTAGCGCAAGGCATCAAGACTCGACTCCCGATTCATGGGGTGGAGCCAACAGTCCTGAGCTGGATGGAGCCAGTCCATTGGGGTCCGTGCTTTTTGGGCCGGGTCAAACTTGACGTCTAGTCTACTTACTCGGTGGCATGGAGAGCCTGGAGATGCGAAGCAGATGCCCGATTCTGCTAGCATTGGGGTGGTGGGTTTCAGGTTTCGGGTTTCGGGTATGAGTGTTATGTAGAACTAACTTGAGTGAAGATTTGAGTGGAAGACTATGGGCTGGTTTTGCTCGGGAGGGATTGATGGTTGATTACTGCTCGTGGTTGAGAAATGTGGGGGTATACAGCGAGTAGTTGATAACTTGGGATAATCTCGGTGGTTCTCGGCGACACGCGGTCTTGTCGTCGTCATGAGTTAATTTAGAAGTCGATGATCGCGTGCTCCCGGAGAAGGGCTAAGGGATATGTTCTGGGAAAGTGAGGGACTCTAGAACAGGAAAAACCACAAACGCTCCTACATGGAACCCCGCACACTGCACTGTTAGTCCCATGCAAGGTCCCAGCAAACCAGGATGTGGATTTATCAGGTCGGGAGTGAGAAGGGGAAAGAAGTATTGATGGGGAGAACAGGAAATGCAAATGATAGTCCGTTAGCTGGAAGTGGTTGAAAGAAAAAGCACTGTGGTTAGTAAGCAGGGGCAGGCAGAGTTGATGTAGCACAACGGATTTATTTTCAAGCGGAACGCTATCATGAGTGCTGGAAGAGCAGATTTGATACTGCTTTATTTATCTGGGTGTCCATGGTAACCGAGACCCAAATGATAAGTTAATCATCACATCGAGGGCGAAAAAGCTTTTGTAATCTCGATGTCATCGCCAATTCTATATTCTTTGAGCGCGCGTGCGACTGGTTGGATGTTCCCCATAACAGGTGGGGAACAAAGAACGCATGACTTGACAAGAACCATGGATGCTTTGCCCCCTTCCCTTATTGAATCCGTTGTTCAGGGATGGAGAAGTAGATACCTCAGGGTAAAAGAACCAGCTAATCACTTTCCGACCACTCAACCTTCGACACCATCCCATTCAGGACACTTCTTTGCTAGGGGCCCTGCATGGTTGGCGAGGGGGGAGGGGAGGGGGGGCCAAGGGTAAGAAGGAAGAGATTTGATTTGATTCGAGACAGTGTGTGTGTGCGCACGGCTTTGCTGCAGCTTTCCCTGTGTTTCCGTGTCACGTCTTGGTCCGACGGAGAGTCAAGGGTTTCATTGGATCAGTAGAGGAGTGGTTCTTTTTTCTTGCGCCTTCATCGGTTTGTTGTTGGGAATCTTGCGTCAAGACTTTGTGGTCGTTTTCTCTGCATTCTGCCTCGTTTGAGAGGGTGAGGATGCGAGCTCCATAATGTGGCGATTTGGAAAGGGATGTTTATGATGATCGATGATCAGTCCGGAGAGAGCGTATGGTGTTATCAAAGCGCCGCAAATTCTGGGCTGGAATGGCCTGGCCCCGAGGATTCATTGGCCGCAAACGGTATGTTGATTTGTACAGTTCGGTATGTGTACTGTGCCTCGGTGGAGATCTTCTGCCCGATCTCAAGGGCCCACTGGGTACAGATCGCATTCGATGGAAGATGTGCTGAGTTTCTTATCAGTTGCTCTGAAGGTGGTGGTGGTGGTGGTGGTGGTGGTGTTGTAGGTGTAATTCGAGTTTAGGAAATGAAACCTGTCGAACAGTGATGTTTGAATATTCGAGGAAGAATGAAAGCAGTCAGTCAATAAGGCGGTGGTCAATAATAAAATAATACTAGTCATAATACCAATTAATGTAACGGGAGGGGGGGGAAACTGGACAGTGGAGGCAGTCCCGCCGCCCGTGCCAACTGCTCCGTGCCCACTGTTCTAACCGTCCGTTTAGTGCCCTTTTACCCCTCCCCACCCCCGTATTATTGTTCGCTCTGTACAACATCATCATCTTCCATTATCATTTTAATTCACTTTACCTCTCCTTTCGTCTTCAACAACCACTTCTTGCCCTCCTTCTCCTCCTAATTCCTTCCTTCTCTTCTTAATCTTCTTCTTTTTATTCCAGCACAGAAGCCTAAAATATCAGACCCAAAATAAGAAAAAGAAAGAAAACAAAAAAAGGTGGGGGAGAAACAAAGTCCAGGAGAAGGAAATCCAGGTGCAGAAATAATCCGGCCTGATTCTCAGTTGGGCCATTATTACTGCGTCTATCTATTTCTCTTTTCAGTTTATCTTCTCATTTGCCTCCCTCTCTCTCTTCTTGTCCTTCTCTTTCCCTCGATCCTTTTCATTCACTCACTCACTCACCCTCACTCTTCCATCCTCATCCATTCTTTCTTTCTGGCCTGCTCCACCCTTTCCCGCCGGTACAGAGCACTCGTGGTCAGCTTCCCGTATCATTTGTGGGGTTGGGCGCCTCCGAGGCTTGCTATCAGCTATTTGTCGGTGGGTATTCCTCCATGCCCACTTCCCACTCAGTTCCTTGATCTAAACCCCCCCCCTCCCCTTCGATTGCACCCACAATCGATCGCCTGCCCGTTTGCTTGGTCCCAAAGCCTTCCCTTATCTTTTCGACTTCTGCCTCACCTCCTGTCTCTTTGTTCCCTTGCTGATACCGTCGGGTTCAATTAGATCATCATTCTAAACCTTATTCAACCATTTTTAGTCTGGCGTATGTCACCTTACTCCCCCCAACCCCACCTGTCATTCGATCGCGCGGAACATAATACGCTTGTTTTGGTATTCATTGCGATTGCGGATTCATTGCTAACGGGAGGTCTCTCCCGCAGATACCACCACATCGTCCGGGGCTGAACGCTGAGACCACTCGACACTGATGCACCACTGATTGGCTTCTTGTGGTGTAACAATTGTTCTTGGGTGCATACCTTCGCCCGGCCGCAATCATTGGAGCAAATACCAGTATGGCGACAGTTGTGGTGCAGCAGCACACGCTGCGACATTCGACTCCCCCACCGTCGGGGATCACCCCCGCCTTGAACCTCAACAGAACCTCGTCGCCTATCCCAAACAAGCATCTGCCTGTTTGCCCAACGGGCCCTTCTCCGGTTTCCGCTCATACCCCTTCCCCCGCTGGAAGCGGAAACGCTACCCTTCAAGCTCCCTCGCTTTTACACCCGCCCGATGCATTTCTCCAACTCTCGCAGTCTCCTCCGATATACTCCTTAGATCGCGCAAGCTTGGCGGCTGCTTTGGACCATTGGGCTTCTCAACCGTTACCAGATCCATCTCAGGTTTTCCCGTGGCTTCATGGACTTCATCCAGCCAATCATCTGCAGGTCGGCTTTTTCACCAACCGCCGGCGCTCCCTCAGGCGGCTTCCCATATGCTGGCGAGGCATCACCATCGTCAAGGTCGGCGGAGACTTGAGCAGGGCACGCATCAAGGGCGCAGTGTCTCCGGATGAGGTGCTAGGCCCGTCAGGTAGAGAGTTCCTTGCAGTAGACCCGCGGGAAGGCTTCTCAGTGCGCAACTTCCAGATACAAACTGCAAAGCTGGCTCCATTATCTGATATCATCGTCTATGGTGAGGATAATGTCAGTCAAAATCAGATTTTGGATATTGCGGCAAGACTGGCCACAGCACAATATCATTGGAGACTCAAGAACGACCTCGAGCAAAGCTTACCCTCGTACAACACATTTATCCTTGCTTGTAAGTTGAATTGGTCGGTGTTTGAACGTCAAACTAAGTCTCCAACAGGTCCTTTCTCCGAGATAGAATCGAAGTCCCCGGAGCTGGTCGCTATCGGTAGCAACGGTCAGCTCACCAACCAAGTGATGGATTTCTGTGAGTAAACCTCGTATTCGAGTTGAGAGCGCAGCTAATCGCCTACAGTTCAATGGGAACGGTTCGAGATGTGCGAGATGTCCCGTGCATCCGAGATCTCGAGGAACATATGGTTGGGCCCGACATCCGACTATTTATTATTATCTGGACCCGGTGGTTGCCCATCTGCGGAGACTTTTGACCTACTGATCGAAACAAGCGAGCTAGCAAGCATTCCTGGGCCTCGTTTCCTGGCAAACCTTAATAAAAAACTCGAAGAGGGCCCACAGAAGCTGGAATTCCCCTCATCTGGATCGATCCTCGCACCTTCGAGTGAGACCCGAGAAGTTGATGATTTGGTCAACACGATCCGCTGGTTGTACTATTTGGCAAACCCGGATGAACCGGAGCACACTGTTGACGCCGATGGCGACATCTCAATGCCGCCTCTCAGCAGAAGGCCACACAAGATCCTGATTCATTGTCCCGACGGTTACACTGAGAGCTCACTCCTAGCAATCGCATACGTGATGTTCGCCGAAGGCATCTCCGCCCCCAATGCCTGGCTCCGCCTCCACAGTGAGAAGAAGCGGAACTTCTTTGCGTATCCCTCTGATGTCACGTTCTTGAGCAGCGTGCAAGGGAGACTCCTGCAAGAGAGTCCGGCCACCAAGTCTCACAAACTTACCAGCCTCCCCGACCCGCAATGGTTCAGATATTGTGACGGCTCCCTCCCGAGTCGGATCTTACCATATATGTACCTTGGTAACCTCTCCCATGCGAACAATCCGGAAATGCTCTGGGAGCTCGGTATCCGTCGTGTTTTAAGTATTGGTGAATCGGTGACGTGGACTGCCTCCGAAACCACGAAGATGGATCCGAAGAATGTGATGCACATAACTAAGGTCCAGGATAACGGCATTGATCCGTTGACTCAGGAGTTTGAAAAGTGCTTGGAATTCATCCGTAAGAGTCATCGTCACAGCAAGTAAGGCTATGTTGCTTACCTTTCTCCAGGTCAAGGAAAGCGCGATGGTATGGCTACTTTGGTTCATTGCCGTGTGGGAGTCTCACGCTCGGCTACCATCTGCATAGCCGAAGTGATGTCGTCTCTTAATTTGTCGTTCCCTAGAGCTTAGTAAGTTCTGACAGAGATCGCGTCTGATATCTTTGCTAACATCTATACCAGTTGCTTCGTTCGTGCAAGAAGACTCAATGTTATAATCCAACCTCACCTGCGTTTCGTGTAAGTCTTTCGAGTTTGCTACGGTTATATGCCGTTCCGCCATGCTAACGTGGTACTCAGATATGAACTTCTCAAATGGGAGGAGTTGCAAGTACAAAAGCGCAACAAGACGCCCAGAAGAGAACTAGAATGGCCGACTGTGGCCCGCGAGATCGCGCTTATGAACAAGCCATATTCCCGATAGTGGAGCGACTCTGCATGGTATACATGCGCACCTCCTGCAGGACCACCCCTGCAGACAAGCACGTACCTCACCAGGCCCTGCTTTGCATGATGTATAGGAGCTGCAATGCAACCAGGATCAGACGAGAAGAACAAGATTGCAGGGATCGTTTCCTCAGAGCTGGGAAGACAGGCTCACACCTGACACCTGCACAACCTTTTTATGACGACTGTTGAAACGGAAATTTTACGAGGGCATGAACTGAACCGATTTAATGGAAATCCGCTTTTTTTTTATTTTCGATTGGCGTTGGACGGGATTTGATTCCCGCGTGAGAAGTAACTTGAATTTCTTGTGGTTCATCTGATACATGCATCCGGATATATGCTAGGGATGTATGAGACTAGTTATCTTTGTGTGTTCGGCTGGGTTGTGTGGGCGTCTGGTAATGGGATTCTCGTGCTGTGTGCTAGGTTTGGAAGCCTTTTTAGTGGTATCTCATCTTGCTTATACTACCTTATTTATTACCAGACGATGATTTCGATTGGAACTTTTGGATTGATTAGATGGTGTGGTGATGGTACGTGTAGGTGCCGGCTGATTTCTGTTGGTGTTGGAGTTCAGATTGGCATTAGACACTTGTGTTCTTCGCTTTCCAGGATGTAGGCTCATATGTACAGTACATACCTGCGGTGAAGGGTAGGTATGTCTGTCCAGTGAAGCACGATGCTTTCTGCCGCGGAGTTGATCTTGCCGAATGATTCTATAGACAGTATACTGTGTCATTCCTTCCCATCTGCTTCTGAATTCCAGCATCAGCCCAAACAATCCCTACTATACTCTACACACCTCGAACCACCTCGGCTCTCAAGGTAGTCATGACAACAGTCGACTAAGCAGCCTGATTCCTCGTGATAGATATATACAGACATCCATCACACACCCACAAAACAAATCCCACCACCACCACCACCACCACGAACCGCAGAACCTCAACACCGCTCAAACACCCGATACAGCCCCTTCAAATCCGCCACCTCGATCACCCCGCCCAACAGCCGCGTCGTAGCTAACAACCGGCCCCGCATCGCCGGGAACACTACGTGCTCCAGCATTCGGGCTATCTGCGCGCGGCGCTGCTGAATAAACGTTTCTGCGTCGTCTTCTGCGGCGGGTTCCTGCGGTGTAGTTTCCTTCTCGCCAGGGTTCTCGTGATTGTTTTGATTGGTAGTGGTATTGGTAGCGGTGGAGACGGTATGCTCCCCCGCTGCTGCTGCGGGTGTCTGTGCCTGTGTCTGCGGAGCTGGCAACGGCAACGCCTCCGGGACGTAAAACGCCGCCAACTCGCGCAGAAAGCTCCGGAAGCAGGCTTCCTCGCTCGACCAGTCGACGTAGGGCCCTAGCCGCAGCAGGAACTTGGGCAGTTTGGCCAGAGACGGCAGGTAGCCCTTCAGCAGGAGGGGGAGGGAGACGAGGCGCCCGTCCTGCGTGATGTGCAGGGAGAAGTACTCGTTCAGCATCTCGCGGCGCGCGATGAGGGTTTGTGCGATGACTTCGGGGGCTTTGGTGTAGATTTCTTGCGCTGCTGTGGTTGCTGTCCGGGTTGAA